ATATATATATATATATATATATATATATATATATATATATATATATATATATATATATATATATATATATATATATATATATATATATATATATATATATATATATATATATATATATATATATATATATATAGACACACACACGATATTTGTTTTTTATTTTTGTACATGTAAAAGTTAAATCGTTAATATGTGAAGTATAAAATTTCATTTTCATATAATTCATAAGAAATTATTAAAATATAAATTATTAATGATTTTTACTTTTTATTTTCTCATAATTTTTTTTTGAAAATTGAATTTTTAAATTTTTAAAATTTTTTTAATTTTTTATTATTTTAAACTTTTATTTTTATTTTTTCATATATAATAAAATATCTTTCAAGAAAAATCATTAAAAAAATAATTTTTCTAAAAGCCAAGTTCAAAAGCTACTTCCCTTAGCTTTTTGGATTTTGGCATTTCAGATCAAAACGCCAAGTGAAAATGCTATAAGCCAAACAATAGTTTTAGCGGTTCGATAAATTAAACAAGCTAAAGTCAGTCAAAGATGCCAAAAGCTATCCAAAAAGCTATTTTCCAAACACAATCATGATGCTATTTAGGGAAAATTATTATGTTTTAGTGTTATTTAAGTAAATTCTTCTTAGATAAACACGTGCCACCACTCTTATCTTCCCATTTACTATTTACGGGGTGAATTTTTTTTTTCTCACTTTGTCGGCTTATTTTCGTTTCTCATTCGACAAAATAATATTGTCTTGTCACTTCTAATTTTGTAGAGCTTTTGATGTAGTTTTTAAAATATGTAATTATTTATTATTGAATTTCACACCATTTTTCATATAAAATGATTTACAAATAACTTCTATCAAACATCATAATTTGCAAGAGGACGATAATTTTTGACAAGAGGGAGTATTATTATAAGTTCACACACAAGGATTATACATATATAATACGAGTGCAATAGAAAGCAGATAGTTTTTTTTTTTTGAAAGTGTAGAAAGCAGATAATTAATTAATGATGCATACAACAAGTTGGGATGGCTGTCAATATATGACATTATTTAGCATGCAGTAAATTAGGGAGGGATATTGGACGGATGGGAGTTGAATTGATGAAGTGAAATAGTCGGTAATGAATTAAGGGTTGTGGCCATGGTGGCGGTGGTGGTGGTGTTCCTCTTTCTCCTCCTTATGGGCCTCCTTCTTCTCATGGTGCTCATGGAACACAAATCCTCCGGCTCCGACCGCCACCGCCGCCGCCACTTCCTCCTCTACCTTGTGCCTGTGTGCATGCTCCCCGTCTTTCTTTGCTTCATGCTTCTCATGCTGCATCACCCACCACCGTTAAGTCATCAATTCATTATTTTCTATTTTTTCTGGTCTGGTCTCCCGGCCGGCCCCAAGTAATTATAATTAATTAAATTACCTTTAAAACCCACAATATAATTATCCATCCTTCTCATGTTTTTTTAACAAATTGATATACGAATTAAGGACAAAAAGAACAAGATCTACTATCTCCGTTTTCAAATATTTAGTTCAATTTAAAATTTTTTCATCTAAAATTACAAATTTTGACCATTAATTAAAAGATATTAATATTAAATATTGATGCAGAAATAAATTTAAAATATTTATGTTGTAAAATATTTTTAAAATATTAATTTATCTAATTAATCATATGATTTTTATTTAGTTACTCCACTCACCGTAAAATATCAAAATTAGAAAAGTACTCCCTCGTACGGAAAATTATTTTTAAAAAAGTTATACACCCCTATCCTCGGTATTAAATGTCTTCCCCTTTTTACTACGGAATACTAGGTATGTTTTCTTGTGTCACAATAAAAGCGCGAAGTAAATTCTTAACGAAACAAACGTAATAGGTAGCTCACCACGGCGAAGGTGCCGGCAGCAGCGACGGCGGCCTCACCGAGGTGCTCGAGCTTTTTGTGGTGTTTCTCATCCTTCTTGTGGTCAATGGGGCCCTCTTCCTCCTTTTGGTGGTGGTGGAGGAAGTGGTGGTGGTGGGTGTTCTCCTCAGCCATATATGATGGTGGATCAAACTTAAAGTTCGATGAATTTAGACTAATTAATTAGTAGTAGGGATGATTGATTGATTGTAATTGTGTATCATCTTCCTTACTATTTATAGGTGATCTGTGATCAATCCTACTCCCTTCCACATTTATTTTAGGACGCACTCAAAAGAAAAATAAAATGTTCAATTTATGTTGGGTCACTTGGATGGATGGCGTATAACAAAATCATATTTTAAAATAAATCTAATTATATTAAATTTAAATTATAATTAATTTTTTCTTAATTTAATTTGTAATCGAACTGTGACTCTCTTTTTGGAACGGAGAAGAATTATTTACATGATATACTTATGAATAATTTTAAACAATTTGAAAAGTTTACTATCAATTTTATAATATTATATTTCTAATTTTATTTATTATATTCCCATAATAGAAAATTTAATGAAATTTATTCCTATTTAATGAATTTTAATTTCAAAATGAAGCAGTTTTGGAAACCACTCAATTAGAAATTAAAAGATCTTTTTGAAAATTCTCTAAGTTTTAACGATAGAAATTACCTAAGTACTCCTTATTTTAACATCGTCTTAATATAAACAGTTAGTCGACCGACTTATCTAAGCATTTTTCTCAAATATCTATTTATAGAGAACTATTTTGGATGATTACTCTAAAATATTTGTTATCTCTTGTTTTATACAATTTTTGATATAATTTTAAATGGTGCAATATGTATTTTTTATTTGTAAATAAAATCATTTTAAAAAATATTATATTTTGTATGTTCTTCCAAATGGGAAGAATAATGAGTAATTTACCTAAATAGGACTAAAACATAATGACTTTCCCAAAATAAGACCATATGTTTTTATTTCCGAATGTAGGACCTTTGGTCATTATTCTTTAGTCATTATTCAAGTAATGTCTATCATTGCTGGGCATTATTCCTTCCACGAAGACATTATTAAGTCCTATTTAGGGAATAAAAAAGTTTAAATCCTAGATTCGGAAAGTCATTATGTTTTAGTCCTATTTAGTGCAAATTTCACAAGAATAAATTGATAGGGATGAAATACATGAAGAGCTAAATATCACCTCCTGTGGTTTGCAAACTGTGGTTTGCAAAGGAGACACCAAAAACGTTCTGTTTTAAAAAATTAATTATTTGTAAAATTTTTGTTGTTTCTTAGTGTTACATGCATACACGCCTCCTAGACCTATTTTAAGAGTTATAGTGATAATTATATCCTTTCTTTCATTGTATCATGAAGTTCAGCTATATTTTTTATTTTCATTTTTCCTTGTTTATAAAAATAAACTAAATAAATTAACATATATGTTCTCCATCTCGAATTAAAAATTTTAATTCATTTATTTTCAAAAGAAAATATTTTTTGAGAACGTTGTAAAAGAAAATGAAATAAAAAATTTCTATTCGTTTTTTTTACTCTGCACAAAATATTTTATTTTATTTTTATATTTTTCATTTCTTTATGTAAAGTTCTCCAAAAAAATCTTTTGATTTGAAAAATAAATAAATGAAAACTTTTAATTTTAGATGGAGAGTGTATATGTTATTTTTTTATTTTTATAAATAAAGAAAAACAAAAATAAAAGAACAAAATTTCATGTCACAGAAAAAAGGCAAAAATATCATTTTAACTCTGAAAAGAGAATGAGGGCATATTCGCATAATTCATAACCTAAAGAACTTAACAAATATTCTCTCCATTTCTTAAAATCCTTCTTCTTTCTTTTTTTATTGTTTTTCTTAAAACACTTCTCTTTTCTATTAAAAAACCATTTTTACCCCTACTTTTTCATAGGGAGAAAGACCAAACTAGAACTAAAACATTGAAAATATACCAAAATAGGACTCACATGTTCTTATTCCCGAAATAGGACTTACATTACCAAACATGGTCATATATATTACCAAAAAAGTATAGTAATTTACACATGTACACTGCCACATTACCACAATGCAAAGTCACATTACCATAGTCCAAAGTCCTATTCCGGGGAAAAAAACATGAAAGTCTTATTTTGGTACTTTTCTTTATGTTTTAGTCCTATTTAGGATGATTTCTATTTTTCATACCCTACCTAGCTATTACATACGGAGTAATACTTTTTCAATAACAACTAAACTATCACATCTTACTTTTACCCGGCAAAATTGGAAAGTCAACTACAATTTAACACTTTCTTATTTTTCTCCAAAGTCAAAAGAGGAACCGTTTTGAGAAACAGAGAGAGTAATTTTTAAAGATAAAAATGATTTTAGTGTCACTCTTATAAAGAACGGGTCACTCGTGACCTTGTCCAATACTCCAATAACCACTCTGTTTTCTTTACAACCACTTAACCACAAGTACGTGTCCCTAAACGTGATCCGGCAATGAGTCAATTATCTGTCATTAACTTTTGTTGGGTACAATTATCTGTCACTAGTCACCACCACCGCGTTTCTAGCTTTCCCTTTAATTATTTTACTCCCTTCTTCTCAATTTCTAGTGTTTGTTTCAATTTAGAATATTTGATTAAAATTATTTTCAAATCATTTTATATGATAAATGGTATAAATTTAAAAATAAAAAATTACATATTAAAATACTACTCCCTCCATTCACCTAAGATCTTCCCATTACGCGTTACGAGGCTTGACCGACTTTATTTTCAATTCAATTTAATCGATTATTGGAGTAAAATTTTAAAATAAAATTTATATAGTAATAAACTACACGAAAAGTTTTACAAACTAAAGGTGACAAGACTATATTATTTTACGAAACGACTAGTAAAAATGAGCAAACAAAGTGAGTAGACTCTGATCATGTGAATAGTGTCTGAGAAGATCTATGGTGCACAGAGGGAGTACATGAAAAGATCTACAAAACTAGTAGTGACTATATTATTTTATTTTATCAAATTATTAACGAAAATAGAGAAAAAAAATGAATGAAATTTGACCATGTGAATAGTAACACATGCACTATAAATAGGGATGGAAGAAGTACAAAAAAACGAGTAGCCTCATTCCGAAGACTTTTCACACTAGGCTGATTGTTACTAAGAATGAAATATATATCCCAACATAATTATTAGGAATCAAACTCGAAAATTTACCTCTTAAAGTACTCTTTGCCTTGCATAACCCAACTCTAACTATTATAACATAATAAAGTTATATACTCCCTCCGTCCATGTATAATCTTCCCATTACGCGTTACGAGGCTTGACCGACTTTATTTTCAATTTAATTTAATTGATTATAGGAGTAAAATTTTAAAATAAAATTTATATAGTAATAAACTACATAAAAAGTTCTACAAAACTAGAGGTGACAAGACTATATTATTTTATGAAATGACTAATAAAATTGAGCAAACAAAGTGAGTAAAGTTTGACCCTGTGAATAGTGTCTGGGAAGATCTATGGTGGACAGAGGGAGTACTTTTTATGAATAATAACATAATAATATATCCGGGGTGTTTTTAGTTAGACCATGTTCTCTTCGCCTGATCTGATTGGTACCGATTAGATTGTACTCCGTAATAAATCCTGATTTGATATAGTGTGCTCTTATCTCATATGGTCTGATCTATTCGATTTGATTTGAATGTAGTTATTTTAATAACTAATTTTGATCTGATCCCAATAAAAATAAATAATAAGTAAAAAAATAAGTCAGGGAGAGTATGACTTTAAAGGATATATTTAATGTTTTAGCGGGCGTGAGTATCAGCATTCAAGACAAAATAGGTTGGAAGTAGGGATGTGTTAGAATATAAATAACTGTTTCTGGGCCACAACCACAGGCTTGAGCTTTTGGTTGAATGGGTTCCTTGACATGGTATCAGAGCCTCGTTGACTAAGAGGTCACGGATTCGAAACTCAGCGCCACCCAATATTTTAAAAAAATTAAGGTTTCACGTGCAAGACTTGGAAAAGACTACGCTTGCACGTGAGGGGGCGTGTTAGAATATAAATAACTGTTTATGGGCCACAACCACAAGCTTGAGCTTTTGGTTGAATGAGTTCCTTGACAGGATGTCAATGGGTTGGGTTCGGGTTGGATAGTACTATAACCGAACCTGACCCGACTTTTAAAATTGAAACCCGAACCCAACCAAAAACCTGACTTTTTAAGCTAAAAACCGGACCCAACCTGGATTTGAAATTTAAATCCGAAACCCGAACACGAACCTGAACTCGAATCCATAATTTTACCAATAATCAATTCGACGTACCCCAATAATTTTAAAAAAGACTAAATCTTTTTTCTCTCTCTTCTTTTGTGTCTCATTTTTTATTAAGGAATTATAAATATAATTATAGAATGTATGCCTGATATAATAGCACCTTGTCAAGAGATTATACGGAGTGCTCAGTATATCATAGATAGATTTTTATGTTATAAAATACTCCGTATTTGAGTTTGGGTCGGGTCGGGTGCAGATTCAGTTCGAATCGAGTAAATTATAAATTCACACCTGACCTGATTTTTGGTTCAAATAAAAAATTTCGAGTTAATATATATTATTTTATTATCATTATTTTATTATCGGGGAATCGTAGGTAGAGGATAAAGTGATTCACATCAATCGTCTTGTCGACTCCGTATTTAATACTACCACGTAATATATTCTCTAGCCATTTAAAATTTGTTGTTCACTCTCTCCCTTTTAAATTAATAGTCTCACTTTAAACAATGCACAAATTTAATTTTTTTAAAATTATTTATTTACAAATTAGTATTAAAAAATTATAAATCACACATTTTAAAACTTAATGAGGGTAATATTTACTATCAAATATATATTTAAACAATGCACGAGAGTAATATTTACAATGCACAAACTTTAACGAGGATAATATTTGATAATAGAGGACTAAATAGAACAACCTCTGTTATAAAGGACCAATTATAGAATTTACTCTAAAAATTACTACTCCTTTTATTAAAAAAAACTTTTTTTGTTTTGACTTTTTTTGTAAAACTTTATTACTCTTTAATTATAATTTAAACATAATTCAAATTACTAAATGTTATAAAAATTTGACATATCAAAACTTTATTCTAAGATGAACACAATTATGTTGATTTTACATTATAATTAAATGTATATTATTAATAACTTATGATCAAAAAGTGTCGTTGTTTAATTAAAAAAGGTTAAAACAAGACGGTTCTTTGAGACTGAGGCAGTATAAAACAAATCATAACTATAAATTTTATCTTATCAAATAATCAATGAAAATACACAAATATTTCCTCTGTCTAAAAATTTCTTTTCCAATTTGACTTGACACGAAGGTTAGAACAAATTAAAAATTGTAAAGATTTTTCAATCTTTGTTCTTGATTTAATGAAATAAAGTAAATACTCCGTAGTATATAAAAAGAGCACGTATAATGACAAATTTATTTAAGACACTTACAAATAGAAGACCCAAATGACATTTAAAGTTCATTTATCTTACCGAATAATCAATAAGATAAACAAAGTACATACGGAGTAAATGAAAACTCATCAGCCACATACGGAGTAGTTTACCGTTAGGAGGCCCAAATGACGCTTAACGGCCCAACATATATTAATGATGGGGAACGGCAAGTGTGGATATCCTTCATTCAATCCGTATAAAAACTTAAATTTTCTTGATAGAAAGAACATTAATTTATTTATATTATCATGTTAGGTGTAAACCAAAAATTATACCTTAAAATATATCTAAATGGTTTACATTTACGTTTTAATGACTTATGTTGATACAAAATATCAGTACGGTCGCAAGATTTTGCACTGTCATTTTGTGTCCGTGTAAGCTATTAATCTCACACTTACATTGACATGAAATGTAAGTATAAATTTTTAGAATACATTTTGGATATAATCTTTGAGGTACAAGTAGATTTATTTTATTATAAATTGTAAAAAACTCAAATGGTCATGAAAAACTAGAAATAATTGGGCTGGTAATCAGTGAATGATGCAGCTCTTGTCAAGGGACCTGAAATCAGTACATAATAATGAACCTAAAATTAGGACTTAGAGAAAATACTGAAGTTTCCGTGACTGCTAAACATTCTAAATTTTGACCAATTTGTTTTTCACGGTGTTTTCAATGTTTTGGAAAATGAAACATATACAACTACAACTTGTTTAGATTAGAAAGTGATTTTTTTTTTAAACGTCGAAAGAAAAAATGAAAATATTTTTTTTTTTGGAATGGGGAGAGATAGTTAAATCAAAACCATTTTTAGAGCAACACTTATCTATCCAATATTAATTTTTTTTTCATTTCAATTAACTGTGGTTGAATTTTTATATAATAGTAATCATTATAATAATATTAATGACAAGAAAACATGGAAGTAAAGATGAGCTCACGGTGATATTCTTTGGTGAACTTTGCATGGCTCCGTCTTTGGGCATAACTTTTCCTCAGAGAAATCTCCAAACAAAAACACCCACACAAAGTAATCTCATCAACAAAAACAATATTAATTCTCCCTCCCATGAACTTTTATGCAACTTTAACATACAAACAAAAAAAAAAGAAGCCAAAACCTCAGTACACAAACCTGTAGTATGACCTATACTAATTCCACTTTTTCTATAGGAAGAATATTTTTTTCAAAAAAAAAAATGATACACACAACACGGGCAAACAATAAATAAATTAAATAAATAAATACAATAGAATAGGGAAAAAATGTTAATTAGAACAACCACAAGGCAGAGAACACACCCTTCCAATCCTCATAAACAGCCACTGCAAAAGACTCGGCCTGTCATTATCATGTGTAGCCACCGTGGTGATGGTGGCTGGCAGTGGCAGTTCTGGCGGCAAGTGGCGGTGGAACGCGTCAACGGCCCCCGCAACTCCATCTTCGTTCTCTATTAGTTTGGCCAGATCCATTGCCCGCGCTTTCACCTGTCAAATTTCATTTTAAATACAAAAAGTGATTGAATATGTGGCCAGAACCCGGCGAATAAATAAACCTACCTCCGGCTGTAGCATAAATTTTATGGCATCAGAAATGTTGTCAATGCTGAGGAGGGATATGGGAATGCAAGGTGGTCCAAGCCCTTTTTGATGAATTCTGTCTCCCCAGAAATACTGGTCACCAAAGAAGGGTACTATTGTCGTCGGGCACTGCATTTGTTTATTTTTTTAGTAAGTAATATTCATATCTACAAGTATTTGTGTTTTATGTTTTTGACAGAGTAATACATTAAAAGAAATGAGAATATTATTACCCCAGCTCGTAACCCGGTAGCTGTAGTTCCAGCACCACCATGATGAATCTGTGTCATGAGAAATTATGAAGGGAAAATCATGAGAAGGTGGAAAGGCTGAGAAAATTATGAATGAAGTCAAAAAAAAAAAAAAACTAACCACAGCTGAGCATTGAGGAAAGAGCCAATCGTGAGGACACTCCGAAATAAGGTAAACGGTTTCAGGGATATCGTGACCTGTTTATTAGTAGGTCCAACCAATACAGAAGAAGTAAGCATATCAATTATCAAAGGAAAAGGAAGCAAGCAAACATTACAGAGAAAGGAGGGAACTTACAATTACCAAGACCTCCCCAACCGCGGTCAATAATTCCTCTTTGTCCAGTAATTTTAAGTGCTTCCAAGATAATTTCTGTAGTTTTCTTGGAATCTTCAAGAGGCTTGAAACAACGAATGGCTATTATCAGTGTGTGCGCGAAAATACGGGGAAAAGAAATAGACGAATATCTAATTTATGTTTCAAGAATGAAAGATGGCACACCATGCTTCCAAACCCTATATAAATAGGTTTTGGTCCTTTTTGTATCCATTGAGCAAATGGTTCAGGAGGCTGGTAATTTGATCCATGATTTAGAAAACAATAACCAACAACATCTACAAGAGGGCCCCAATCTGCACATACGTCCTTAATATAATAAAAACCTATATTTGTAAAAAAGTGACAACTGTTCGGTTTGTTCCAAACTCACCTTGTGGTTTAGGAACAACATGAGGGCTCCAAATGTAGCCAGTAGGGAGGTGTGATATGGATCCGTGGTACGTACTGAAATACGCTATTGGGGGAAGACTGAGCTTCTTTTTTCTAAAGTCATTAATGTAACTTCGTATGCCCCACCATATCAGTAAGTCCACCACCAAATAAGAAAGCTGGATTGACCAGAGAAATGTTATTAGGTAAGAATTTACAATATTCAAAATCAGTTTTTTAGAAGGAAAAAAAAACCAAGAAGCTTTACCCAGTATCCAGCACTCTGAGGCACGCGAGCTAATGGATGAGGAAATTCATATGTTGGCCTGCCTATTCAAGAAACATGTAAGGCCTCATCCCATATAGATAAGTTTATAGTACTACTGCTCTTGGACAAAACGTGGAACATTTTCTTTATCAGTCTACTGGAAAAGTGAAAGTTGATGGCCTAAAGTGAAAAGGTGAGTTGAGGAACTAAAAGAGGAATTTCCACTTTAAAAAAATGGTTTCTTGAAAGTTGGATCTTTAATACATGCATCACAGATATAGAAGTAAAGAAACAAGAAGACTCACGTCCAAGGCATTGTGAAGAATATGTGAATAGGCACTTCAAGAGCTTCAGCTACATGTACATGTCCTGTCAAAAATGGAACAAATACAATGAGCCAATGCTTGTAAACATAGAACTGGAGGAAAAAAAGAAGAATATTTAGCTGCCTTTTACCGTCTATATATTCATGTGAAGATCATAATTGCTGTTTATATAATCACTCGCCTCTTAATGTTAACCTACATCGTCCCTATTATATTGTGTACGCTATCTCAATGAAGATCTTAACATAAAAAATATCTAAACGATATACTAGCATATAATTTTCAATAAATGTCTTTGAATATATAACAACTTTCTTAAAAGATTATTTAAAAAAAAGTTAAATATTTCCAAAAAGTTCTTGGAAAGGGGTTCTCCAATACAAGAATTTGCAGCATAGAATCTTTACTCTTCACCATTATACAGTTTTTTTTATCATGTAGGGTTTTTATTATTACTATAAACATACACCCAGAGTCAGTGACGGGACAAGATTCATCTAATAAAATGCCCCAATTTTGAGATAGTCCTTAGTAGGTCTAAAAGAATACAGATAATAATGGTTAAACAGCAAAACCAAGTAGAATGTAAAGAAGCAGAGTAACAAAAGTAAAGAAGAGCTTAGCTTGGTTACCATATGCAGGAGGATTTGCAATAATCGCTTGGACCCTGAAAGGCTGTCCTGTTTCAATATCTGGTTCTGTACAAGCTGGAAGAAGTGACTCAATGATAGCCTTTAACTGTTTTCTTTGAACTGCAATCTCCCCGGGTGCTGATGGAACAAGGCCTTTATTCCTGGCCATATCTACAATTTAACACATAAATAAGACGGATTCAGTTGCAACACGGAAGAAAAAAGCAATTTATTTTGACTAAAAATCTAAACCACAAGATACAATAGTTGCATGTTCTTGGTTTGCATTGTACAACAGAGCTGAAAGTAATAAATTGGGTAATATTTGAATGTAAAAGAGGGTCTCACATCCTGACAAAACCCTGGGGTCACCACCCAAAGGATAGAAGTCTACGCCTGCTGATTTCACAAAATCACGGAAGTTTGCATGAGTTGCCAGTCTAACATGATGACCAAATTCCTGTGAACAGGCATCATCCAACGGGGTGAATTAAGATGCAAGCAATAAAAACCTGGCATTTATAATAAATACTCCCTAGTTACATTCCAAAATATAATTATATATTGAAATTTTAAAAATACTCCCACCCGCAAAGAAATCTACTGTTTGACTTCACAGAGTCTAAAGAAAAGACTCTTCTAAAGAAATTGTGAAGTTCTTTATGTGATAGGAGTAGATTGCATTATAAGTTCAATCTTCACCTAGTATTTTTTGGGTGGATGGGAGGGTAAAAGGCTTCAAAAGAACAAAAACAAAAGCAAAAACTTTGCCTGAAGTCTCTTGGCGATAGCCAGAAATGGTTGGACATCTCCCCTTGTTCCCACTACAAGCATGGCAATTTGCAGTTTAGGAACTGAGTTATTAGAGCCAGTGATGATACGATCAACACCATGATGTGGATCTTCAACTGTTTGAAGCTCCAGCAACTCAGAGGTTACAGGTTCATTCTTGGTTAGATCAACCTCAACTGTCCCATCATTCTGGATCCTCACCAATTCCACAATCAGCTTTTGCTGCGAAAATGAAAAAGATGAAACATATTCACTGAACCCCAAACAAGTGATGGGCACAAAAACAGACTAGAACCGCATTTTCTGAAATAATTTCAACAACATAATGAGAGTGGATGAGGAAAGTAATTTTACCTTCTCGCGCTCAGAAAGTCTATCCAATCTTAGATCATGCCTTTTTGCATTCCTTCTCTCAATCATAGATCTTGATTCTCGTGAAGAACCAATGTCCTCACCTTTAAGGGAGAAACTTTTATGTCTGGAAACAGGAGCCGTAACACAATATCGCAGGCCTGCAGGTGGGGGGAGGGGGGAAAGACAACAATGAAATGTGACATCAAGCTTGGGATAAATTCTATTGAAGTGCAGGCCAAGAACTCTATTCTATTCCAAAAATAGGTAAAACTGCCCTCTAAAGATATTAATTGACGATTACATAATACTACATAGATCTTTATGAAAAGGGCAAAATCGAATAGAGTATTTGTAAAAGCTTGCATGGGTTGAAAAATAGTCTTTAATGGGTTGCCTTAAAGGTTTTTTATTTACTGTTTGTGAAAGCTAAATTGTGAAAGTAATTCTTAAACAGACAAAGTAGTTGGAAGAAACTATGAACACCTAAACTTGAAGGAAAAGGATAATTAAGTGTAATAGCGTGTTTCAAGCTTGGTTCTAAGCTTCGGGAGTTCAAATCACTATAAATGGAATCAGGCAAATAAATGTGCATGGATTATGAAAACTTATGAAGGGACAACCTCCTCTGGCTTGAGGTGGTTCGCTCGAAGTCAGATCCGTTGATGGGGAAAGACTTATACTTGATAAATGTGGAACTGAACTTGCTCTATCATAATGTTTATCTGGAGTGGAGCATGCATCATACTGCTGGTGAGAAGACTCGGTGTGCAACAAACTTGTTTTATCATCAAATCCATTCTGAAAGATGGAATCAAACTGTTCATCAGCAGAGCTGCTATCCAAATTTAATGGACCTTTCTTGTCCACACCGTTGACATGTTTGCCAAATCGCTTAATCTCCCCAGCTTGACACAGTAAGTCGTGCACTTGAATTTGGTCATTCCTCTTCTTGGCCATAACGCTCTCAACTCCATCTTTTAAATTTGATATATTACCATTACCATTACAATGCATAGTTATTCAAATGACCATTGAACAATCAAACCTTACAGCAGCCGAAACTCGATATCCAATAAGTCAAATCCACTCAAGAAGTATATCCAAACATGCCTCAAAAACTCGAAAGAGCTGAACCCGAAACTCCAAATATATCACGAATAGTTAATCTAATCAATCAAGAAAACAATCAAATCGAACCACACAACTGAAAGTCTGAAACGCAAAACAACCCCTTCAAGAACTCTTTCCTAAGCTACCACCCAAGACATCACATTCACTCAAGAATTACACCCAACTCACTCAAGAAATTGCACCCAAACAGACCTTTAAAAAGAAACGAACTCGAGTGAACTGAATCCCAGACTCCAAAGATCACTAAAACGCTCAGTGCATCAATACGCACCTATCTTTCAGGAAGAACTAGTAATTCGTGCTCAACCAGCGAACCCTGAAACGCCAAGAATACTCGACAAGACTGGAACTTTAGCCTCCAATCAATCAGCAAAACAGCCGGACTCTGCAAATCCATAAATCAATCCAATCAGTTTATCAGAAAGACTTGAACTTTGGGGATTCTTTTCTCCCAAGAATTCGAATAACTGGGTGAATGCACTGGACATACCAAGTGATCGATCATTCAACAAATTCAGTCGAACGGGAGTCGGGTTTTATACGAAAACAGGTGTGGCGCAAGAGGGGGTGAAATTGGTGTTTGTGAGATTGGAAGAAGAAGAGAAGAAAAGCCCTAATAGTGTTGGAGGGAATCGGCGGAGGGAGTAGGCGTGAAACATGAAGCTGCAGCGTTCGTTGGAACAGCAGGAGGCCTCATTTAAGCACATGAGGATGATTGATTGCCCGGTGTGGCCGATGATATATATTTACTCCCTCCCCAAAATAGCCCAGGCCTCCCAAAACTTGCAATCTCACTCTTTCTGTTTTACCAGTAATATTTTTATACTCCGTAATTAATATCTTTATTTGTGCATTTGTTAGTATTAAATTGCATAATAACTTAATATATTTTTTCATATCAATATTTAAAATTTTAAATCAAATTAATTAAAAGAATTAAATTTATTTTTCATTTTACGTATGAGATAAAAAGTTGGAACCAAAGGCCAAACTTAATACTCCCTCCGTCCCCAATTTGATTACAAATTACGGGTTACGAAGTAAAATTTTTTACTTTTTGAAATCATTTTATTTACAAATTGGTATATGAATAAAATATAAAAATTACATATTAAAAAACTATGTCAAAAGTTCTACAAAACAAAAGGTGACAAAAATATTTCATTTTATCAATTAATTAATGAAATCGCGTAAATAAATAAAAGTTATTGAGAGGAGAGAGAAAAAAATTGTAATCTATTTAGGACAGAGGAGTACTCCGTATTATAAGAACGAAGTACGGAGTAAGTAGTACTTTATTATTATTCAAATTAGATTTGTTGACCATGGAAAAACTTAAGTGACTTTCTTAATAATCTCATGTACGTTTGTTGCACTTTATGTTGTCCTTTTTTAATTTAGAACAACCATCTTCAGCAATTCATGCCTGGTGCTTTCAAATTACGGAGGACTCGTATTAGGAAGAAAAAAAAGGTACATCCACCTTGCACGTCCCCCATACTTCCCTATAGGATTATTGGACATGATATCCGTTTGGTTCCGATCGAGAACAGCTAGTTCTGGTGTCAGTAAGGATCATATAATTTTAGTCTAGTTTTTTTGAGAGAGCGTTTCATGTCCGACGCGTATAAAAAACTATCTCATTAGATAACTTTCTCACACTAGCATTGTGAGATCTTGGACGTCGAAACCATCCAATCTATTCATGCAGACTAATTACGGAGTATAGAGTATCCAACAGACAATGACTCTATGAAGTGCAGCTTGTTTTATTGTACTCTATTCGTCTCAGTGTATTTGTATTGTTTGACTATTTTGAGTCAAATTGAATGAATGCTAAAAATTGATTATTCTATATTTGTATTGCATATTTATATAACAAAATACAAACTCGTAACTTCTTTATAAGGAAAATCTAATGAAATTCATTTTATACTAATATACGTTACTTTTTTTATTTAATTGAGTTTCAAAATTTATAAAATTTGACTTAATAAAATTAAATTAAACAAATACACTGAGATAGAAGTAATTTGGTTCACACATGTTTGGTTTGAGAGAGTATTTTGATTTATTTAATTTGCAAGCTAAGGTACACCTACAACCCTCATTCAGTACATTTATTTTAATATATAATTTTAATAACAATACTCCAGCTCCCTACGTCTCAAAAAAACCCTCAAAATGTGTAGTTGAACGTAATGTAGGTGAGAGAGAAAATTGTGAGCCACTCAAAGTTTTCTACTTTTTTGGAATGTTTCAAAAAAGATATAATGAGTTTTTTTAGACAAAGGGAATAATAATTATTGTTATTTATTAATAAACAATATTTAAAATAAGAATAATATGAAAAAAAACACATAAATTTTTTTGAAATCATTCCTGAAAGAGATTCAAAAAAGTCAGACTCAATGGGAAGAACAGAAAACAATGAAGTAGAAATATTTGGAAGAAATTTAAAAAAATTAAAAATGGTGGAAGTTAAGAGTGAAAAAAATTAGATATCTTAACTAATCAATATAGGTCTTGTGATGCATCAAAAGTTCAATAAACATAAATATATAACATGTATGTATTCATTCAAGTTGTGATAAAATCATAGTCATCATTATTTAAATGTATATAACTTTGTAATTGAGTTTTATTACTTCCTTCATCTCAAAAATTTAAAATTTTTTTTTAGAAAATAAGATGTAACAAAAAATTTTTATTTTATCAAATGATCAATCAAAATGAGTAAACAAGCAAGTGTATCGAGAGACCGAAATCGAAAATTTGGATTAAAAAGTTAAGTTAAATTTGCAATGCCCAAAAGAGAAGTTTGGATAGAGAGAGTAATAAGTTAAATCAAAATTCAACAAATTAAGATCTCATTCCATTATTGAAGTCAATTTTTAGTTTTTTACACTACGAGACAGCTCTTGTCTTTTTTTGTTTCGAAAAAATGTTACAGCAAATGGTCAATTTTTACGCCATGAGACAGCCGTCAGATTCAATAATAAAAAGTACCGTTTGGCAATTGGCCAAGTGCCACAAATCCAATAACTTATCCGTCATTATATTTCACGGAGTATATATTGGTGAATTATATTTGTGGGTGATTGAGTTGAGGTAATATAAAAGCATTTGATTTTAATTTTTTGTAATTTTAATGTGTCGTTAAACTACTTAGGACTTTAAATTTTTTCAGGTGTTTATGATTCTCCAAATCAGGACTTAGTGAGTTGACCACAAATATCATTACAAGTAAAATTTAAACTTTTTGAGAAAAACAAAGATGTGAATCAATTCTAAGTACAAAATGAGTATTACGGAGTATAATTGAATACATGCACAATCAAACTATCAAATGTAGTACTTCATTACCAAAAAATGAACAAAAAACTTCCTATATGAATTCTATGGAGTACTAAAGTACACTTTAATTTGGTTTTTAAAAAAATGTACTCAATTATGATTTATGAATATATATATTTAATTTATTGATTTTTTTACTTCTTCAATCTGAGCATGAGTCCCGTGTACAACATTACGGAGTATTTAAAAAGCACTCCATTTTCCATTGTTATCTTCTAACTTTTCTTGCTTAGACATTTCTAATTAATATTCTCATTTGGCGCGGTCTTGTTGAAGAATAGCATTTTAAATTAGTCCTAGCACTTTGGATATATTTTATAATGTAAATTAATTTTAAAAATACTAAAATTAAATGTTATTACGTTGTATTATATAATCTTTTCAAAATGATTTATATGATCCAAGACGCTAGCTAGCTAAAATGTCAAACTAGAAAAGCACAAGAGTAGAAAGGAGTACATAGATTTGTATTCTCAATGAATCAATTCAATCAAAAAATTAAGTTTGTAGTTGTGGACTCAAGAAAAGGTTTTATACTCTAGCACGTCCATTCACGTGCAAGCATAATTTGTTTTTGTTCGAATGAATCTTACACGTTGAAATAATTTTTTTAAGAAATTAGATTCAAACTTGTGGTTTCTTGATCCGAAACAAGGCTTTAATCTGATAACATGTCAATAGACGAATTTTACAAAAAATTCAAGCTTGAAATTGTTAGCCCAAATAAAGTTTTGTACCCTAACAAGAACTAATAATATAATATATAGAGTATGTAGTTTACAAATTAAACTACAATCTTGATTCTACAATCTCATTGATTACCAAAGTCCTCACCCGATTAATGGTGACAAGGAACAAGCACACATGTTGTTGAAGCTCCTCCACTTGTAGCCCAAACCCACAACTCTTATTCTTCATTTCCTTCAGCACAACTCCAAGAGACAAACTATCTTCCCTCCTATCCAAACACAGCCTTACCATCTCCCTGTTATGCTCGATCTCATCCTGTATCCGCCGCACCGACCGGCTCATCGTCTCCAAATCCCTCCTCACAATATACGTCCCCTTCGCCGCCAACTCCACTTTCCTCTTATTCCTGGACCGTAACAAGCCTTGTTCCAGTAATAACACGGACGAAGAAAAATGCTCACCCATGATCAAGTTATGGGTGTCTGAGAACGGGTCCTCAGCGAGGAGAGTGCTTAGGGAGTGGAGCTCTGGTCCCACAGAACCAGAGCTCAGGAGCCCGTCGTCGTCGAGGAGTGCTTGGATGCGTTTGTGGTCGGATTGGACGCGGTGGATGCGGTTGAGGAGGCGGGTGCATAGGATGGCGGCTTCTGCACTGACGTCGAAGTAAGCAGAGAGGATGGGTTTGAGGTTGTCTTTCTTCTTTGGAGTGGTTAAGGAATCGAGAACAGTTGAGATGGTTTCTTGACATGGTGTCAGGAAGTCTGAGTGTCGCTGAGCTTTGGTGGAGAGGTCATTGTACTCCTCGTCCACGTTGTGGGTTTTACTTGTTTTGTTGGTTCCTCCCCTAATAAATCGCGACCACATCTTGTTAGTCGTCTTAGCTAGGTTGATAATGAACGTAACTAATTAGGAATAATATAGTGATGAGATCGACACAACTAAGTCAATAATTAACAAGAAAGAGGCCGGTTGTCCGACCATATATATATATATATATAGTACTCTCCGAAACATGATTTGGGTTATTATATTAAGTTGCTTTTATGAGAAGAATATAATGTAATGATTGTGATAATAACAGCCACGGCAAATAATAGTGGAGTTCAATCGTGTATGTATATATAAAGTGAAATTTGCACTGAACTAAAACATACGTCATTTTCCAATGTAGAATTTAAATTTTTTTATTCCTTAAATAAGACTTAATAATGACTAGTGAGAAGAATAATGTTCCAGTAGTGCTGGACATTTAGTTGAATAATGACTAATATATAATGACTAATGGTCCTACATTAAAAAATAAAAATATATGATCGTATTTTGAAAAAGTCATTATGTTTAGTTCTATTTAGGTAAATTAACCCTATATAAATCGTGTGTGTATATATATAAAAGTCGAGTAATTTGTATTTTCCCTCGGGATTAGACTCCACCTATCACGTACGTACTAATAAAGTCATTTAGCCATGCCACGAAATAAATACATAATGTCCACAAGTTTTAAGTTGGCTAATAAAATGGTGACAGATTGCCATTTTGAAGCAGCAACTCATAACCCGCCAACAAATTTAGACAAATAAAGCAAAACCTCACATCCATACTCTTTCGTTTTCTTAGCTTGTTCCAATATATGACCACTCCTTAACTCTTGATTAATACTCGCTCCGTCCATAAATAAACTTCTCGTTCACTATTCAAAGGGTCAAACTTTATTCACTTTGTTGGCCTATTTTCGCCATCCATTTGAGAAAATAATATAGTCATGTCACCTCTAGTTTTGTAGATCTTTTGATATAGTTTTTTAATATGTAATTTTTATTTTTAAATTTTACACCATTTTTGATATAAAATGATCTGAAAATAATTTTAGTCAAACATCGTAACGCGCAACGGGAAGTTTATTTGTGGACGGATGGAGTATTAATTATTTTGAACATTCTTTTTACTAAAGCAAAAAAAAAGATTTTTTTTTTCAATTACTTAAAATGTTTCAGGGATTAAATTTATTTGTGGACGGATGGAGTATTAATTATTTTGAACATTCTTTTTACTAAAGCAAAAAAAAGATTTTTTTTTCAATTACTTAAAATGTTTCAGGGATTAAATTTATCAATACAAACGACATGACACCTTACTATATTTTCTTGTAAGAAATGTATAATGAGGAAGCGTAGAATTACACCATAAAATGGTATAACTCCGTGACACCATTTCAGTTGAGACACCTACGGTGCTCCGTTTCGTAAAATTGACAGTGTCTACACTTCCAAATCTCTTCATAAACCCCTAGCTCCTACAGTATGCAAAATTGACGGTTCGTGAAAATTATTGTTATTACATTTATACTTGACCCGGAGTGAAATATATTATACTCCATAGTATATAATTATATATATATTCAATTATATAATAAAACACAGGATATGGAAATTAAATGTGAAAGACTAATTAAAACAAGATGGGGTTGAGCCGAAAAGGATATACACTATACGTATGTTAGTTACTGGGGGGGGGGGCATTATTATTGCACCTTCCACAAAAAATCACAAATTAAAGGATATATATCATGAGGAGCATGCTACACTTACACCAATAAATATACCCCATTTGTACACCACAGGTTTGCACAAACATTTCGATGGTTTACACCGACACAAGTGTTGGTGCGTTAATAAAAATTCACACGGACACAAATGTCGGTGCGTTTAACAAAAATTAGTTTTACACCAACACAAAATGTTGGTGCAAAACTGCGGGATACAAATCTTGGGGTACACATAGCATTTTCCATATCATGATCCCAAACAAGAACACAAAAAACAAAAACAAACAAAATTAGTTATGTTATGTATAGTATACTGTATATCGAACGTAACGGCTTAGTATTGCAAGTGCACCTTTTATATTTCACTTTATATATAGTTATTTAAAAAAATGTAGTACTCCATCGATTTCTAAAAAACTTTTTATTAAAGTCTCTGTATCTATTTTATTTAAAAATCAATTTTGTATCCATTAATTTTTATCTTACTTATCACATCATATTTATTAATTAATAATTTACCTATTGCATTTTACTTTTTATCAATTACATCAAAAATAATTTTGAAAAAGTCAACATAAAACTATTACTCCGTACTTCTTTAAATCATTAAAAGCCTAAGGCCATGTTCTTTCCAACTCATTATTATTATTTATTTATTCTTATTGGAATCGATCAGTTCATAGATCATGTCAGAATAAAAAAAATTAAATGTAATATACATTCAGATAAAATCAAACCAAATACGATCAAATCAGAACTTATCTTAATCACATCATCAGAATATATATTTATATGAGATGAAGAGGACATGACCTAAATAAGATTTAAGGACGGGTGGGGTATATACTTCCTCCGTCCTAAAATAATCTTTCCAATCACTATTCACATGGTCAAACTTTAATAGCTTTCTTTACATATTTTCATTAGTTATTTCATAAAATAATATATTAATGTCACTTCTTGTTTTGTACAACTATTGATGTTGTTTTAAAAATACGTAATTTTTAATTTTTAATTTTATACCTATAATAGTCAAGTTACGAAAACCGAATTGAAAAGATTATTTTAGGACGTTCGAGTTACAAATTAAAGTATTGTTGGAGTGATGTTGCACCTAGTTGTTAATTGCAAGTTGTAAGTAGCGTCCACTAATACTCCTCCCGTTCCCTAACATTATACTATGATAACGATTAGCCAATTCCTCTCCTAAGTCTCCAACATAAAGATGACAAATTGACAAAAACTCACACTAGCTATACGACACAATATATTGTCTCCCCTCGGGAATAATCTTTTTATTTAATTTTTAGCAGTGTCTAATATAATTACTTCCTTCAAAAGAAAAAAAACAATTGCAATATTTTTTTTGAGAATAAAACAATTGCAATATAATTACAATAAGAGTGGCCTAAATTTTGAACTTGATACTAATTAATTTAACTTATTTTAGGAAATACAAATCATTATTCTTTTACGTGTCATTGTATCATTGCATTTACTAGATCTTTTGGTTATGATATGACACAAATTTTGGAAAGCCAATATTTTAATTATATTTTATTAAAACATTCGCTATTAAACCTAAGCCGTCATCTTAATTATTTACATTTTCATCAGCTTAAAACACTTTTAAACTACATAACTTAATTTAATAGTTTAAAAATATAATATAAAAAAATTTTAGTATTTCTAAAATTTTTAAAGCTATTTAATATTTCTTTCTTTTATCATTTTCCATACATGTGACTTTTTTCTTAAACTATATATTGAAAAAATTCAAAATGGTTTATAAAAAAAATAAAAAATTATACGGAGTATCTAGTACTCCCTTGAGCCGCTTTGAATTTTCTCCAATTGACTTTCAATGTGAGATTAAACTTGAAATTTCAAAGAAGACAATTGTCAATAACTTTATGTTTTAATGGCTATAACGTAACTATTAACACTACCAGTGAAGATCAAATATACTGCGTATATATTACTCGCATAATTTTTGGGTTATTTTTTACCAAGTAAACATTTTCTTTTTTTCTTTATGAAAAAAAAAGAAAAACGAAAATAAATAAAGAAAAAGAAAGGAGATGTTGGTGTCCATTTCCAAAAGCATAGTGGCAACATAGTTATTCAGCAACTATTTTTGTTTAGAAGACATTGACGTATCAATATCAGAACCTTAAAGGACAACAACGTAAGTTTCGAAACCATAACAGATAATGGTGCACATTTACCAAACCAAATGAGTCGTTGGTGTAATAAACTCTTATTATTATATACCCCGTACTATTTACTTTTCAATACTAATTTGGTTTGACATGGTTGATCTAAGATACTCCCTCCAATCTTCCCATTTCTCCTTTTTCTCCGTTCGGAAATAATCTTCCCATTTCAACTTTTTATACACTAACTACCCAAAATACCCCCACTTACAAACACTCCGCCTATCTCTCCCGTCCCCCTTTCTCTCTCCTCCCTTAGTCACTCGCCTCTCCTCTCTTTCCTTTCTCTTCTCTTTTTCTTCTTCTTTTCTTCTCTCCACAATTGTTCTCCAGATCCGTTCATTCTTCTTCCTCTTCTTCTTCCTTTTCTTCTTCTTCTTCTTCTTCCTCAGTTCCTTCTCACCCCTGTTTTTGTTCAGATCTATTCCTTCTTCTTCTTCTCCTCCTCCTCCTCCCCTCTGTTCTTTCTCGTCCTCCTTTTTCCGTCCAGATCCGTTTCTCTTTTTTCTTCTTCTTTTTCTTCTCCCCCCAATTCTTTCTCACCCCTCTTTTCCTTTTCTAAATCAATTCATCTTTTTCCTCTTCTTGTTCCCTTTTTCTCCTATTTGTTTGTCTTCTAAATCTGCAAGGTCTGGGAAGATCTAGGGGCTGAGGTAGTGGTGGGAGCTGTGGGGGGTCGACGGTGATTTTGGATCTACGGTAGCAGGGGGATCGACGGAAATGGTGGGAGCAAAGGGCAGGGGAAGTGGGTGGGGACAATTGGGGGAAGGGTATTTTGGACTTTTCAATCCTAAAGTCAACACTTCATAAAAATGAAAAAAGTCCAAATGGGGAGTTTAATTCTTGACGGAGGGAGTAAATTCTTTTATGGTATGTTTGGGAACATGGATTTGGATTTCAACTCGGATTTGATTTAAATTCCATGTTTGGGAAACTTAAGCATTTTAAATTTGGATTTGAATCAAATTCTTTACATCCAAAACAAAGCTTAATTTGAAATCCATGCACCTCATTGTCATTTGAAATTCCAGATTTCAAATTTTGGAATTGAAATGCATGAATTGAAATGAAATGCTAGTTGTCAAACACTACCTTATAGTCTTTGAATTGATACTCATTTTACGGAAATTAATACTCTAGAGTAGATAAAATGGTACCCGAAAGTGATATGTTTTGGACATTCTAAAATGAAAGATCTCAAATAATGATCTTACGAAAAACATGTAAAAATCCACATTTCAAATGCATTTGTAAATTAGGACTATAAGAACATGACTCTTAATCTAAACTCTAAGGATCTATTTGGTACACGGAATTAATGTAATTGGAATTAAATTAAGAATGGATATTCTATATAATTAATTTGGATAGAATTGAATATTCCAATTCTAATTCATTTTTGTACAACCAATTCCGAATTTACATATACTTTTATGTTATCAAACCACAGAATTGGAATTGATATCCTCAATTTCTATTTCATAGTTTGAATTCCGTGTACCAAAAAAATATTCCTAAGTTACTTAGGAGTTAGGAGTAGTATATAATCCAGAGTCCAGAGTCCAGTCCAGTCCAGTGTATCCTACACTGTTTCATCAACCTTTATTTCTATGTATAGTATCTTTTTTTTTTCTCATGGCAGATCCGTCATCACAGATAGGGTTGCTCCGCTCCTTATTCCTCTGCTTCGTTTTAGTCTCTAAGCTTTACCAGTCAGCTTCTGTGGTGGTGGTCTTCAATGGAGTTTCAGAGTGGAAAAACTCAACTGTTCTACTTGTTGGAGACACCATCAGTTTGTTTCATTTTTTGTTCAATTCATCCATATCTGTTTAACAATTGAATTTAATTTCTACTTTTATCTTTTCCTTTTTTTGATTTACAGTTTTCCGGCACCACAATGTCTTCTTTTTCAAGAACCAGAGAGCTTTCAATGCCTGCAATTTCACTCTGGCCGCTCTTCTCCCCAAATCTAACTCCAAAAATTATACTGCTGTAAGTTCAGTTCCCTTGTATGTACTGGGTTTCCTAATTCTTGAAATTTTGGTTCAATTTCTTGAAATGAGTGAACTTTTTCTGGCTAATTTCTACCGGAGTAAATCATAATTTTGTGATGATGGGGAGTGATTGCAGTGGCACGCGGTGCGCAAGGGATTCTACTACTTCTCATTTTCCGACGGGTCTAATAACAGCACGGCGTGCTTAAAAGGCCAGAAGCTAGCAATTGAAGTAACTCCGTCGCCGCCGGAAAGTCCTGCACCCTCACCCGGTGGATCTCCGCCGTTTCATTCTGGCGTCGGAATAGCGCCCACGTCTCCGTGGGCTCGAGAGAAGGCGGGTTCCCCTGCATCGGCTCCGGTTGGTGCGGCTAAAAATGATGGCCCGGTCATGGCCCCGGAGGAAGGCGGCGGCCAGACACCGTTCATCAAGAGTAACCCGGCGGTGCCTCTCCCGACCGGCGAAGTGGATTCTGCAACTATTTGCACTTTGCCCAATGCAGGTCACCCTCAAGAACAGGTAACTATATGAGGACTATTAAAACTAGTGTACCCCGTTTGTCCCCCACCCCCTCCATTATCACTCAATTAGGCAAGAAAATTAAAAAAAATAAGTAAATAAAAATCAAAAATAAATGAGTGGTTATTGAAGGGGTGGTGTACAAATAGGGTACCACCTTTGGTGTACCCCTAGCATGACCCTTAAAACTATGAAAAATAAAAAGTGCATCGAGTTATTTGGATGAGATATAAATACGGAGTATTATTTTTTACATATTACCGTTAAAAAATCACGAGTATTTTTATTTATTTGTACATTTTTATTGATTATTTGATAAAATAAAATATTTTTATCAAAGTCTTGTTTCAAATAAATTTTGACGTTATTGTTAAATAAATTTTATTTCTGATTTCTATATCAATCTATAAATAAAATAAAAAGAAATTACCCTTAATAGAAATAAAATATATAGAAAGTATCAAAATAGGAGCTCCATATTTTTATGGGAGAAAGACCAAAGTAGGACTAAAACATTGAAGATATACCAAAATAGGACTTCCATGTTTTTATTCCCGAAATAAGACTTACATTACCATACATGGCCATATACATTACCAAAAACGTATAGTAATTTGCACATGTACACTGCCACATTACCACATGGCAAAGTCACATACTCACATTACCACAGTGCAAAGTACTATTTTGAAAAAAAAACATGAAAGTCCTATTTTGGTACTTTTATCTATGTTTTAGTCCTATTTAGGGTGATTTCTATATTTTTATCTTCAAAATAGGAGTTCGCACTGTGGTAATATGACAACGTACATGGACATTTCACAATATTTTTTGGTAATGTACATAGTCATGATTGACACTATAAATGCATTTTAATCCTATTTCAAAAATAAAAACATGAAACTTCTATTTTAATTTTATTTTTAATATTTTACACCTATCTTAATATTTTTCTCTAAAATAAAATCACTTTATTTTGAATGATATGGCAAATATTCTTGGGGTGAGGGAGTATGATAATAGGAGTATGCACATTGAAAGCTGGTTTTGAGTTGCCATAGCTAGCAATTTAAGGGGTGATTTTTAATTAATTAAGGAAAATGCTAGGAGTACACCAAAAGTGTACCCCAAACATCCCACCCCCTCCATCACCACAAAAAAAGCAAGAAAAATTCAAAAAAAAAAAATAAAAATTAAAAACAAAATAAAATGAATGGTAAAGAGATGGGTGGTGTACATTTAGAGTACACCATTTGGTGTACTCCTAGCATATCCCATTAATTAAATGAGCAATGCTAGGGTACACCAAATGGTGTACCCCATTTGTCCCCCACCCTCTTCTCCACCACATATTTTTATTTCATTTTTAATTATTTATTTATTTTTAAGTTTTTTGCCTATTTATGTGGTGGAGCAGGGGGTGTGGGACAAATGGATTTGGTGTACCCCTTGAATTTTTCTAATTAAATACTCGGTATTTTATTTGTTTTGGGTGGAAATGGTGCAGGCGGCGGGGGCTTTGACCGTTCAAAGAGCTTTTGAAAAATGCTAGGGGTACACCAAAAGTGTACCTCATATGTCCCCCACCCCTCTTTGTCCACTAAAAAAGGCAAAAAAATTTAAAAAAAATAAGTAAATAAAAATCAAATAAAAATATATGATGGAGAAGAGGTGGTGTACATTTGGGGTACACCTTTTGGTGAAAGGTGTACCCCTAGCATTGCTCAGAGCTTTTTTCTCTGCAATTTTCTGGATGATGATAATGATGCTGCTATCATGAAAAGCTGCTATGATGATGATAATGGAGTGGGATTTGGGATGGACGAAAATACACTATAGCTAGATATTATTACTCCGTACGTAGCTTTTCCTTATTTTAAAGTCTCCTATATGAATTTTAATTTGTGTTAAGTGACAAGCTAGTTATTACGAGTATTATCTAATCTCTAAAGATGTGTTTTGTTAAATCTATTTTTTCATCTTATTACTTATTCGTATTAAAATTAGATCAAATTAGACACGAATAGTTTTAAATATAATCACAATCAGATCAAATTAAACTATATCTTCAAAAAATCAAATTAAATCATGCGATTGAAATACAACCTAAATCACTTAATCAGATCAAATTAGACTATCTCTAACGTCTGGTGTAAGCTTTTCTGTGCTATCTAGTGCTTGAGATTGTATTTCTAAATAAAAAAAGTAGTCTCTTCGTCTGCCATAGATCTTTGCGAATATTTTACAAGGTCAAATTTAATTTACTTTTTTTTGCTTATTTTTATTAGTTATTTCATAAAATAATATAGTCTTGTCATATCTAGTTTTGTAGAACTTTTCATGTATTTTATTACTATATATACTCCTTTCGCCCATAAATAATATTCTCATTGCACGTTACGATATTTGACTAATGTTATATCAAATCATTTTATATAAAAAATGGTATGAAATTTGAAAAAATAAAAAATTACATTTTTGAGAACTACACACATGAAAAGATCTACAAAACTAGAAGTTACATTACTATATTATTCTATCAAATACGACACGAAAATAGGCCAACAAAGTGAATAAAATTTGACTCTGTGAAATAGTGAACGAGAACTTTGTTGTTGGACGAAGGAAGTAAATTTTATTTTAAAATTTTACTTCTATAATCAAATAAATTGAATTGAAAATAAAGTCGGTCAAGCATCGTAACGCGTAATAGGAAGATCTTAAGTGAAATGAGAAAGTATTTCGTAAAATAGTTTACTCAAATAGTAAAAGAATATAAAAGCTAAACTATATACTCCGTATAGAGTACTACCTCCATTCAGAGTATTTGTCCATTTTCATTTTTACACATCATCCAATACACTTCTTTAATCCATTTTATCTTGTAATTTGTATATTAGAAAATTATAGAAATCATATATTAATAATCTATATGTTAAGACAAATCAAATAAGATCACACATGACTATATTTAGGCTTACATTTCATGACCATAAAACACTAATTTAAAAGAGTGATTTATACTTTTTAAAAAAACTAGCATCACTCCCGTGCATTGCACGGGTCATACTTATATTACTAAATTAAGATCATTTTTGAAGGATACAATTTTTTATCTAATACTCCTTTCGTCCCTGAAACATCTTCTCCTTTCATTTTTTCTTTGTCCCTCAAACTCTTTCCTTTTTCTCTTAAAAAACGACTTTTACTCCTTACTTTTTCATATCCTACCTATCACATCATACGTTTTTGCTAATAATCTATCTATCACATCTTACTGTTATCAATTACATCAAGGATATTTTTGGAAAGTTAACACCAAAATATTCCTCCCTTAATTTTCCAAAAAGTCAATAAGGGAACTTCTTTCGGGACGGAGGGAGTAGAATATAAAGATTTAATTATTTTAAGGTACAAAAGTTAATTGTTTTACAAATAACGAAAGACTTCTTTATAAACTACATTACTCGTATAATTTTTATATATCAAACTTTTAAAACATTTATTTATTTAAAGACTTCTTCATGATTTTCTACTCCGAAAGCATGAATCTTATTTAAGAACTCAAGACAGTGTAAGCCATTCAAAAAATTTGAAAGAGGCTAATTACGAAAAGTGATTGAGAATGACTGTATTTAAAGTATGAAAAAATTAAAGTATTTATCTATTTCCATGCATCTAATTTTTTTCGAGTAAGATATTAATTAGTGGTTGATTGTTGAACATATAAAGGTATATATTATTTAATACGTTTCCATGTATTAAAGGCACACCTCTTAAAACGATGTCTTTCCTAAAACATTTGGGTTTGGATCTCTAAATGGAAACATTATTAAATTGAAAACTTATTTGGTTAGAATTATTACACGATAATAATAACTAAGTACGATAATATTATTACACACTATATTATTATTATTATTATTATTATTATTATTATTATTATTATTATTCTTTCACAATAATAAATCAATAATGATTAAATACATTAATATTATTCAGGTATATTAGTATTATTATTTTTCTACACGGTAATACATTATTTATTCTTGCTACAAAGTAATTTATGATTTAATTATTATTTCTATATTCAACACTTAACATATGTGCCACCATTTCTATGTATTACTTTGACATTTTTTATATTTAATTTCTTTGATTATTTTTTATTTTGATTTTTTTAATTGTGCCTTCCTTAAATGCATAAACTTATATATTTAAATTTCTTCATAAAATATTTGGCACCAAATCTCTAAATGGAAACGTAATTAAATTGAAAGTTTATTTTCTTAACATAATCACACCGTAATAAATTAATAATGATTAAATATGGTAATATTAAGTTTGGCCATGTTCTCTGAATGGAAACATTTTTAAATTGAAAGCTTCTTAGATTAGAATAATTATACGATAATAATGACTAAGTACGGTAATTTTATTACACAGTATATTATTATTCTTCGTCTTACAATCTTACATGGTAATAAATTAATAATGATTAAATACGGCAATATTATTACACGATATATTCATATTATTCTTGTTACACGATAATACATGATCTATTCTTATTACACGGTGATTTATGATTTAATTATCATTTATTTATTCAACACTTACTACATGTACCACCATTTCTATGTATTACTTTGACATTTCTTTTAAATTTGATTTTTTTTCCCCAAAAGGAAACAAATGGTTTGTATGATTAAAATGGTTTGTTTCTAAATTGGAAAAGGAAACAAATGGTTTGTATGATTAAAATATTTTGTTTCTTAATTGGAAATTATATAAATTACGAAACTGTAAATTTAATGCATTGATTAAAAAAAAATTACACCTTAACATGATTATTACCTTTTATGAACAAATATTGTTTTTGATTGAACGGTAAATAATTTTTTATTATATCAATTCCAATTTTATAAAAAAGTTTGATATTTGAAAGGAAGTTTATATAAATAATACGGAGTATTTTTTATATTTTGTTTCCTTTTTAGAAATATATTAGGCATGCGAAAATTCCTTTAATTTATTATTCTAAATAAGAATAGAGTAATTAAGTAATTATGCATGCGAAATTATTCTAAAGAGGAAACAACATAGATCTTGTTTGCGAAATTAGACCCTTATTTTTTATCAGAATTAAGTAATTATGCATGCTAAATTTTCTTTAATTTATCATTCTATTATTCTTAAAAGTATTTCCTTTTAAGAATAGAGTGATTAAGTAAATAATTACCTATTTAATTAGGCATAAAGAATTACTTTTTGATAAAATAATCAAGCGTAAATAATTCTAAGTAATTATAATAATAATAGTAATAATAAATCGTAAATAATTACCAATGTAAATAGGAAACAAAATATAAAAAATCTCCTACACCGTCCATTCCTTTTTTATCACAATCAAGTAATTAGGGAAAATTGGTTAGGAAACAAATTAATCCCTTCCTTTTTGATCAGAATAGAGTGCTTATGCGTGCAAAATTTTCTTTAATTTATCATTATAAATAGGTAATATTACACAACCAATCATAGACGTAGATCTTGTTCGTTCCTTGATATCAACGGTCCAGAAGATGAGTGCATTGGGCGGGAAAATAATTTCCCTGCTTTTAAGAATAGAGTGATGAATAGGCGGGACATTCGTATTATGATTTTCTTGTTCTAAATGATTTAAAACTGTTTTATTTTAATTTTATAATTTGTCTGATCGAACCGGGTAATAATATTGGATCGAATAGTTTGTTAATTGCCAGCTATCCTTTATGGAGTACGGAATCACTATTTAAATTTCTACTTTAGTATGAAGTATTTTCCTTTTCCTTTTTCTTTTTAAAATTTGGACTCTTTTGAATTAATGTCATCACTTTTTCGCTGTCTTAAACTCAATTGAATGAGGATTTGAGATGTTTTCAGATTGATGCCACTAAATGCGGAGTATACACCACAAAAAAAAGGTGGAATGAGCATGGAAAAATTCTGTCGCGACTCTTGGTATTGAGCGGGACGATGGAATTAGCGATAATAGCCATTCCGTCCTCATATGTTCGTTAGTATTCAAGATCGAGATGATGATAGAAGTCTACAGTTCGTCGTTATGGGCGACAGAAAAGGAGACAAATATCTTCCGTCGCCAGGTGGGGCAACGAAATTGGCAAACGCCTTAAGATTTCTGATCGAGCACATGCCGATAGATTAGTGATCCGTCGCCATTTCCGCCGCCAAACTGACAGATTCTGCCATGAATTACTTGTTTTTTTAGCCAAACCAATCAAGAGACAAATAGGTCAAATTCAACCAATCACAATTACACCAAATCCTCACAATGACGATGCTATTATATATCAATAACCAATCACAACTAGACCAAATCCAACAATCGTATGAATAATAAATGTTTTAACAATTCTAATGCTAGATCGAAAAATACTGTATGTAGCTAACAAAGTCAAGTGAAATTACAAATGTTTTGTTCTAAAAACAGGCCAAGCACTTGCAAACTTCGTTCCTCATGTAACTCGATCACCATCTGCATTTCTTGGTTGGAAAACTCCTCCAAGCTATCGATCCAGTCATCTCCTCTTTAACCGTTAGCAATTCACACACTTGAGAGGATCTCATGTCATCAAGCTCTTCCCTCAATTTAGTTATCTCATCATCACGAGGGTTTAACATTGAGCTCGTACTGGCACGTCTAGCCCGACTTCCATGCATTCGTGGGAAGCTCCGTGCAAGATCTCCAGCACCGTGAACACGATTCTTAGCAACACTCATGTGTGGAAAAGCTGAATACACTTTAATTTTTTGCCACACTTGGTTATGTGCGGTAAGATAAGTGCGGTAAAATGCAAGTTTTCTTGTAGTGGATCTCGTTTTTTCAACATTTTTTCTTTTTCTCCAAAATACTTCCATATTTTATTAAAAAATCACTTTTACCCATATTTTTTTCTTACCTTACATATCATATTGTACTTCTTTAACTAATAATCTAACTTTCACATCTCAGTTTACTCATCACGGATAATGCAAAATTTAAAAATCAATCATAAATATGCATTCTTTATTTTGGCATAAATTCAAAATAGGAATGGTTTTAAAAAAGGAGCATGCTACATGTACCCCAAAATTTGTACCCAATTTGTACATCAAATGTATGCACCAATATTTTAATGGTTCACATTGACACAAAATATTGGTGCGTTAACAAAAATTTAAACTGATACAAAGTGTTGGTGCGTTAATAAAAATTAGCATTAGATCAATACAAATGTTGGTGCATTCATGCAATATATAAAATGAGATACAAATTCTTAGTATTCTAAAAAAATAGAGGTAGCTAGTAGAAATACTCTCTCACAATTAGTGCCCCACCTACCATCCACGTAGACCACTTGCCCACCAACTACCTCAACTAACATGTGAGAATATGCATGGCACAATAACTAACTCCGCGTATCATGTGATGTTTGTGTGTCTTCATTTTTCCTCTCTATTGCTATTGCTATTCTTCCCATATCATCTTTTAATTCTTTCTTTTATTTTTTGAAAAATTTGCTCAAGTGAAAGATACTCCCTCCGTTTGAAAAAAGTATTCCTCTTTTGACTTTGTGTAAAAATAAGGAAGTATTAAATTGTAGTTGACTTCTAATTTTGCTCTTGATGTGATAGGTAAAAGTAAAATGTGATGGATAGATTATTAGAGATAAAGTATGATGTGATAGGTAGGGTATGAAAAAGTAAGGGTAAAAGTGGTTTTTTAATAGAAAGTGGAAGTGTTTTGTTGGAAGTAAAAAAAAGAAAGATGTAAGAACGGAGGGAGTATGTTTTAGTCTCGTTTGCATAAATTACCCATATTGTACATCAATGTTTTATGCATGAACTTCTTTTAAGGTCTCGCCGAGACACATCCACTCTTGTTTGCACGCGAACAACAAACTAGGTGTTCTCCGAGCTATTTCAGCCTTTTCATTTTACGAAATGATTATGAATGTAAACCTAGTTTATGTGTATATTCATTAATATGTATCAAGAAAGTAATCATAAGGATCCCTTAAAACATAGATCAATGGAATATAAGGTTAGATTCAGCATTTAAAAATGTTGATTTGTGGGATGTAATTTGTCATGCATGCATGCCAGCTTGATTCCAATCTTTTCTGGCTGCAACTCGATGTGTTCATTTCCAATCCACAAGAGTACAAGCTAAGACCAACAAGCTAAGCCAAGGTGCATTATAGGTACTTTATACTTAGATGTAGCACAAGTGGCTCGATCGGGTCGATCTGATACGACACGTGCATTGGATACGGGAGACTTAGAGCGTCTTCAAGCTCGTAGGGAAAAGGGGAGACGTGGAGAGAGAATCGTAGCGGCAGGGAAGCCGTGCGTGAGACGAGAGCGAGAGAGAGACATATAGGTTTAGGGTTTTTTTTATTTCTTAGGTAAATGTAGAGAATACACCTCTATTTCAATAGAGACCCCAATTCCTAAATCTACGTTTTCTACCCTGACGGTTCAAAAAAACGAGGTTAAAAAACCGTAAAGAAACTCTCGAAAGAGCTTATAATTTGCTCACTTACACAAATCTAAAATACAATAATTAGATACAAGTTTAATACATCTCAAACTCCTTCTGCCATCCTAGGGCACGCCTACTATAGTAGATCGTGATATCACGATCTACTATAAATTTAAATTTTTGATTGAGTTTTTTTGACAAGAGGAAACTCGTTGAAACAATGATGAACATAGTTGTTAAATCGGTTCCCTTTTAGCCTTTGCTCAAACCTTCCTAATCATGGCGCCCTTTACCCTGCTCTGAATGGCAAGCAATTCCTTAAGAGAAAGAAAATAGGTAGCTTAACTCGTCTAAGGAGAAGATGTCACGCCTGTTGATCCTATGGTCGAATACCGATAGCGACAGTATGAGAGTTATATTATTGGCATGGTAATAGCTCCTTGTGCGCAACGGGTCAGGGCAGCCTCTCTAAGGATTTGATTAAGACCCTTCGTAATCATGTCGGGCCAGGGTGTGAGGCATCCGAGGTGGGCGTTCCACCTTTTTTTAAAAATATTTATATGTCTCGATTTTGTCCCATTTCAAAACAGTTCGGGACGGGTTTGGGACAAAATTTTATCATCTCCAACAAAACGAAACATTACAGAGACGGGACCAGATATTTTCGGGTTGGGATAACGGTTTTGGGATTCATGCCCACTCTTAATATTAGTTATGACAATGTTTCATTATTAGTCACCTTCTTATTTCTATTTATAGTAGATGTAGTATTTTGATGAGTTTTTATTTTTAATTTCTGGTTGTGTTAGAAATCCCTCATATACATACTTTATTACTCCCTCCGTCCGAAAATATTCTTTCCATTTTTCTTTTTAGTCCGTCCGAAAATATTCTTCCCATTTCCTTTTTTAGTATACTTTTTAAGGCTAAATATCAATAATACCCTTCTATTTTATCACAAATCTACTTTATTAGTACTTTTTTAATAATAAAAGGAGATTTAAAAGTTTATGGTATGTGCATTTTTGAAAATTTTGCATTTTTTTACTATTCCTTAATAAGCGTGCCAAGTCAACACGGGAAGAACATTTCCGGACGGAGGGAGTATGTACTTTATAGTTCAATGAACAATATTGTTATTCCAATATTTCAATACTCCATATTTCATTTATTGTCGGATTGGAAGTATAACTAGCTAGATCAAATACTTTGGGACGAGAGATGATTGTTGCTATGAGAAATTTATCTAAATAGGACTAAAACATAATGATTTTTCTTAATATAGGATCATATGTTTTTATTTCCCAATGTAGGACTTTTGGTCATTATCAAGTAGTCATTATTCAAGTAAATGTCCAGTTAAAACAAAGAGACCGTTCTCTAAGATCCTTGATGCATTTTTACTCTATCGATTCAATACTCAAAACTTCAGTTGAAGTAAGAAACAAGAGAAGTTTAAGATGTCATTTTGATTTAATTACTTTTCATTAATCACTCGAAACTAATTAAAAGTTTTTTGCTGTTATCTTTACACAACACATATACCATTGACATCAGTCTAGTACGTAATTACCCGTAATTAAATATGGATCAGGCAAGAAAAGAAGGAAAAATAACCCCCGCGTTGTGAAGGAACAAAACCAAAAATTAAGCATTATGATAAATGGGCTTAAGAGAACGATCAAAAGAGTCGAGCCCCTGAGTCCTGCAGCGAACAATCATATGGAACACTTCCCTGACCTGCCGCTCCAAAGGGTCCAATCCACTCTTCAGAGAGGCAACCGCTACCCTAAGCTCACCCACACTCCCCTTCACCTCCCCCTCCGCCGGGGGACACTCCGCCGTTTCCGCCAACTCGTTCAACCCTCTGGCGCACCTCTCCATCTCCTGAAGCTCCTTCAACAGCCCCCAAGAGGAGTTGGAGTTGGAGTTGGAGCTCCGCTTGCGGTCCCTCTTCTTCGAGGCATCGAGGACCCTCTCGTGAAGGGCAAGGAGTGGGGCGGACCAGGAAAACTTGGACGGGTTGATATTTGCGTTGAGGCCGCCCCTGTCTTGGCAGGGGAATGCGGCCACAAGGGCGAACATCACGAAATACAGCAAGTGGCTCATTGTGGAGACGGATAGAGCGAGCCCATTCGAGGCAATGATCTCACTGGTTTTGGGAGGAGCCAAGTTGTTTCCGATGGCTTGGAGTTGCCTGGCGGCGGACCAATTCCGGGAAACGCTCCAGGACAGGGACCTGGAATGGCCCGGCGATGACTTACCATTATTGCTGTTTCTCCCGAAAGATCGGTTCCGCTGGGAGAGAGAGGAATTGGAGACTTTCTCGTCGAGCATGGAAACCGCCAGATCCGCTAGGGTCTTCCTCGCGCGACGGAATTGGCCTTCCCGGAGACATCTCTGGCTCTCCAGTGCACAGATCACAATCTCCGACTGCTTCTGCCACTGTTTGATCTGCTCGATTCCGTCTCGGATGGCGTTGCAGACGTCCAGAGCCTTCACGCTCCTCTCGAAGTACTCGGAGACGAATCTGTCCAGAAGGGGCTTGTTCAGGAGAGCCTTGTAGTCGACGGCGATGGACTTGAACTCCTCCAGGCAACGGAGGAAGACGTCGAGCAGATTCTGGATCCAGGGAAGAGAGAGCACATCATCTGAACTCGCGGACAACAAGTCGTTGAGCCGATCGGCGACTCGTATCTGGAAAGCTTCGAGCTGTTCGTCGGGAGTCTCCTCCGCCTGTTCACGGCGGCGCATGCTCAGAAACGAACGGCCGAAGTTGGAAAACGACGATTGGTAGTCTGTAGCCGGCATTTCTCAAATCGAGAAGGAATTGCAGAGATTGCAAAGAGAGGGAGATAATGGTGGTTCGGAGCCCTAATGTGAAATTGGGGGGGATTTTTTCGGGTCGGTTTATTAATGATGACGTACTCCATAAATATGGTCTGCAGGGAAAGAAGAGAAAGGAGAGAAAAAGTCAGCATTGGGAGGTTTTGTCAAAAGTAGGTACAGTTGTAAATAAAGGCGTAATTTGGGCTGCGTGATTAATTAATTGCCTAAAGCAATGCCTATATTTAAATGAACAGTGCTAGATTCACAAACAGAATACTCACAAACTTTACAAATTTATTATTTATGATTTAAAATTTTATTTTAAAATCATTTTAGACCATTTAACTTTTTCATTGAAGTTCACAAATAATAAGTTTGTGAAGTTTGTGACCATTGTGTTTGAGAACCAAGCATTTCCCTATTTAAATTAATTTGTGGAATTTAATCAAATGCTAATTGTCAAAGGACGTGACACGCCTCCCACACGCAGTGGACTCGCTTTGGCCTTCATTATGGACACTTTAAATAAAGTAAAGTAGTTTTCAAAAAAAAAAGTAAAGTAATCGATCATCATTGAAGACCATCATTAAAATCAAATTATCGGATCTTAACTATGTTTCTGGGAAGGGATATGCTTAGGTGTATACCGTATACCTTTGTATATACTCCAAATGTACATCACCCCTCTCTTTATCATTTATTTTATTTTGTTTTTGTTTTTGTTTTTTTTGAATTTTTCTGACCTTTTTTTGTGGTTATGGAGGGGGTGGGGATGTTTGGGGTATACTTTTGGTACAAAATGTCTATAATGCACTTTAAAAAGTATGATATCAACAGCGTGTCAATAATTATGTACAAATAATAATCGGTCAAACAAACTCGATCTCTTAATTGACCACCAATGCTAATTGTATTGTTGCATGCCTCAACTTGTTAAACTTAGCTATATATAAGGTAGACCTATGCAAATAAGGGTTGGCCCGTCCGGCCCGCCCAGCCCGCCCTTTTAAATGGGCGGATATGGACAATCTTTAATACCCACATGGGCGGGCCGGCCTAAGCCCGAATTGTATTTGGGCGGATATGGAAATTACTTTTAGCCCATCCGGGCCAATAGGCCCGCCCATATTCATTAGTACATTTAATTCATTACTACGTATTAATTATCTAGACATTATAAATTTTAAAATTTTCTTTAATTCATGTATGATAGTTCATATCACTCACCCCTCTTAAACAAAAATCAATAGTGTTTTAATGAATCTGTATGATGGATTTATTAATTATGTAACAATATTTTTATTATGTTTTCTATGTAAATGTGGCGAGTGGTAATTTTATTTTAAACATTTGAAAAGGAGTTCAATATTTTCTTTTTGATTTTTTTTGTGTAAAAAAAATGTACTTGATGTTTTATCCGGGCCGGGCGGCCCGGTGGGCATTTCGGCCCGTTAAAGTGGGCGGGTGTGGGTAAAGAGTTTAGCCCATCAAATCCGGGCCGGGCCAAGCCCGCCCATGCAAATGGGCTAATAATTTGTATCAAGCCCGGCCCAGATCCGTTCCGGATCCTTATTTGCACAGGTCTAATATAAGGTTTACAAATTTAGATTGATTATAAGTTTCATATATAATGTGTAAATTTTACTAAATTTCTTCTTGTAAATGTTTTATTAGATAGAAAAATGTTCATGAGAAATGAATATATTGATCTTGGCGTCATATATATTCATACAACTTCGAGACATGCTTTAGTTTCCATCAAATTAAATGGAGTTGTTTGATAGGACACATATTTTTGCTTTTCAAAGCTCAAACACAACGTCCGTTAGTTGTGGGGACTTGTGGATTAAAGATCAAAAGACAATTAGTGTAACCAAAAGTATAAATTTGACTTCAAGCATTAATGTGTTGTATGTAGAGCTCCTTTAGGGTGCTTTAAATTGAATTAAGAAAAAAAGGGAACGGATGAGAACTCAGAAGATGAATGATTTTAAAAATATATTAATTGAGATACTATGTGTATGTGTTGGAAATACTCAGGGACAGAGGTAGTATATATTACTCCCTCCGTCCCCCTAAGATGTTCTCATTTTGACTTTTGGTGGTTTTTAAGGAGAGTTGAAAAAAGGTGAAAGTTTACCATAACACCCTTAATGAAAAATGAGTGGAGTGTATTAAATGAGGTGGGTGAGATGTAATAAATAAAGTAAGTAGGGGTAGTTGTGGTATTTTACTTGTTAAAAAATAAAATGAGAAGATCTATTGTGGACAAAGAAAAAGGACTATTGGAAAGATCTATGGGGGACAGAGGGAGTATTTAATTATAGGTCAAAAATTGTTTACAATTAACTGAAAAAAGTTAAAACTAAATAAATAGTCTAGGAGAGAAGTATTACACAAGTGGTTGGGTTTTGAGCTAATTGGAAGAACCCAAAATGATGTAAAGGAACCCATTTCTCAGTGGGCTTTTGGGTTGGCGATAAGTCATTCCAACCCAGCATGTGGTTCCGCTTTAAATTCGTATCCGTGCTGTTGCTTTTATATGCTCCTTCCGTCCTAAAACGTTCTTTTCAGTTTAACTTTTCCCCATTTTTAATTTTTGGCTTTGACTTCAAATTTTACCCTCCTTAAAAAAGATTTTTTAAGAATATTTAATTTTATAAAATGATCAATCAAAATTTATAAATAAACAAAAGAGGTATTGTGATTTATGAATGGTGTAGAATCTAATTCCTTTTTGGAGAGAGAGTACTATTGTCTATCTCGAGATCGAACTGGTCAACCAAAGTTGCATTATCTTATTGTAAATCAGCCCACTCCGGCGGCCCATTCTGAGATTATTATAATCACTTGCTCCGATAAACTGGGATACAAATTTAAACAGGGAGCAGTGTATATAAAGTGAGGTTGGGTCAAATGGCGCAGCATCTAGTTTGGGCGTTTTCCAGCACCGGCCCAATAGAAGCGGGCCGAACATTGTCGTCCAATTCTTGTTTGGGCGGTGGATCGTTGGACTTGTTAATAATATCGTTGTTTTGGTCCTTCTCCTCCCTTTTCTTCCCCCACAAAAAGCCGTACAGACCAATCACCAGCAAAGCTGCTCCCAACACACTGTAATATGTACTCATGTGTCATAAGAAGTTGGAATTATGAAATTAAGGATAAATGAAATTAAGCATATACTCTCTCCATTTCTAAAAACATTTTCGGATTTGATATTTCTTTAAAGAGTGAGAAAAAAATCAAAACGTTCCTAAAAAAGTTTTCTGTTTTGATTTTTTTTGTTTAAAGAGTGTCACAGTTTGAAAGAAAAAGGTCAAAACCGAAAATTTTTTAGGACGGGGTGAGTATGAAATTATGAATAAGAAGTACCAGCCGGAGTAGAGGGTATCCTTGAAGAAAAGAGCAGAGAAGAAGGCGGTGAGTATAAGGGCCAAAGGATTGAACATGCTTGCGAAAACAGGGCCTTTCTTCTCCACAACCCATGCTTGTAGCCAATAGGATACCCCTGTCACCCCTATACCCTGCAGTTATTTTTTTTAATTTACTGTAATTAGTATTGAATTATAAAATAAAATGAAATCATAAATAAATAAAAAAGCAGAAAATTCAAGAACAAAAAAAAAAAACAGAGGGTACAGACACAGTAAGCGACGGAGAGGAGGTTGAGGTCCCAGCCGAGTTTCCAAGAGGACAAGTCCTCTCTCTCCACAAAGGCACCCCAAGCTGTTGACATCACACAACAAATGCAGCACTGAAGCGTTACCAGCCTTAGCTTTGCCGGATATTGTTTCATCATCGGACCCTGTAACAATATAACGTGTAGTAGTGTTAGAGTATACTCCGTATAAAAAAACGTTTTCTGTAAGCTTGAATTTCTGTTTGAGTTGGTTCCTTCATATGTTAAATAAAGACGTCACGATTACGAATCTCACCGTCACCCTGTTGTTTAAAAAAATAACAATTGAAGTTTTACAAGCAACGCTTAAAGAAAGTCATCATGCATAGAAAAACTTTTTCTGGGTCACAACACAAGGTTGAACTTTTAATTGAATTGATTCCTTGATACGTAGTAGTGCCCAATTTAATCTGTTTTCTTTTAATAAAATTTAATAAAAAAAAAACACTTACATCACTAATTAAAAAAGAAATTTGAAAGTAATGAATGAATACATAGCACTACCTACCTGCATGATAAGCCAAAGGGACCAAGTGACGTTAGCAGCGAGGATAAGAAGAGACCCTCTTATCCAATCTTCTTCTTTACTACTAGTAGTAGTACTAGAGGTTGTGGTTCCACCCGGGGCAGGTGCTGCTGAAATGATGTTGGACCGGTTTTGGCCGCCCATTATTCCTCCTTTAGTAGTAGTAGTAGGAGTGGATGTGGTTAATGGATATAAGAGAGGGCCTTTGTACAAAGTTAAAACCATGGCCCCTATCAGGCTCAATGCGCACCCCGCCACTTTTGCTTTCCCCTCACTTTTGCTTATCGCTACCCTTTCCAACCTTTTTTTTATTATTTAATTTGTCGTTGTTGGCATTCCCAAATTTAAAAAAAAAAATGTTATGAATGAATTAATGTATGTATGAAAATAAGAGCACGCAGTGAATTAATTAATTAAGTTCATGAATGAATGAATATAGATAGGTAGGTAAATATAGTACCATTATATTGCATGTAATAATCAATAGATAGATAGATACCTAGCAGGTACATATATATATATATATATATATATATACCTGAGAGAAAGGGCGAAGAGGAAAACAAGGGCAGGGATGGTGTTGGTGACAGCGGTAACAAATGTTGCAGACACATAGTTCAGTCCCGCATAAAACAGGTTCAGGCTCAAGTTCACCCTGCATTTACATACATACACATATATGTCATTCATTTAATTTAATGCTACCATATACTCGTGTATTGCTACAATAAATACTACTCCCTCCGTCCTATAATGATCTTCTCGATTCGCAAAACGAAGAAAAATTCCAAGTTTTTTCAATCTATTTTATTTAAATATTGGTATAGAAATAAAAAATAAAACATACATATTTAAAAACTACATCAAAAGTTCAACAAAACAAGTGGTGACAAAAATATTTTATTTTATCATATAGGCCATGAAAAAACACAAATAAATATAAATTCCCGTGAAGTTGGAATAGTGCTCTGGAAAGATCATTATAGGACGGATGGAGTAGTAATTAATATAATGTTTGTCAAATAATGAAGCACATATATAAAATTAAAAAACAAAAATAAATCAAGAGCTTGTATATATGGATGGATATGAGTAAGTAGTAGTACATATATATATATACTTACCCACACAAGGAAACGACAGAGATCTTGCATAGCATTTTGAAAGAGAGAGGAGTTGGATTTTGTCTGAATGATGGATATATGGATGATGAATCAATTCAAAGAATAATACGGAGTAATTAACATTGATCCATGTGTAATTAATTAAAGAGAGATTTTATATTCTAATAATTACATGGTTACATACATATATATATATATACTACGGGGTAGATAGATAAAAAAAAAAAAGACGATATGAAACGTATAATACCTTTCGAAGTAGAGAGCGAAGGGAGCGAGAGTGAGAGAGGCGAAGGCCTGACGATAGGCGACAAAGATGGAAGGCTTGAAGCCTCTGGACATGGCAGACTTGGAGAGAAGGGTCATCCCTGTGCAGCTCATCTGTATTATCACCATTGCCCCTATTGCTCTCCTACTACTACTACTACCACTACCACTCCCCTTCCCCATCTCTCTCTCTCTTTTTGGTTCGGTTCGTACTATATATACCTAGCTAGCTAGCTACTACCTAGCTCCATGCTAGCTAGCTACCTTCTTATATACTCCCACACTCACTCTCACCTCAAGCTCACTTTTTTCGATAAAATTAAATATTCTTATGACATCTTGTTTTATATTCTCTCCGTATAAATTTATTCCCATTTCAAAAAAGTTACGTCTCTTAAAGTTATTCACATTTCTATTAAAAAACTAATTTTAACTAGCTCTTACTTTTTCGTACCTTACCTATCACATCATACCTTTTTCTTAATAATCTACACATCACATTCTACTTTTACCCATCACATCAAGGGTATTTTTGAAAAGTCAACACAAAATTTTCCTTTCTTATTTTACCATTTTAGTCAAACCGTCTCTATCTTTATGAGACGGAGGGAGTACAATTTTTTATGTACTTTTCAACAGTGCGATTTATACTTTTTATTTTTCTACTAATTTGTAAATAAAATAATTTTAAAAGAGATAATATGTTATACGTTCTTTGAAATGTTGGAAACAATTTGAAACCGTTGAAATATATACTTCCTACATTCCTGAAAATCTTTCTCCTTTATTTTTTCATCTGTCCCAATAAACACTTCTTATTTCTATTAATAATACACTTCTTCTTTTTATTAATAATCTAACCATCAAATCCTACTTTTACACATCACACCAAAAGATTTTTTTGAAAGTTCAGTACAAAAATACACTTCCCTTAAATATCTTTAAAATCAATAACTCTCATGTTTTTAGGACCAGATCGAGTAAAAAATAATTTTTTTTCAAATTTTCAGACTTGATAATTTATCCACACGAACAGGTGGCCTCACTGCGCGCAATTGCACTGTTCTGCACTCCAACTGAAGCGTCAGAGAGTGAGTGCGTTTGGCACTTGCCTCCTACTCCAATGATCCACCTCATCACACCCATCCATGTAATTTTTTTACCGAACAACACCCCATTCTCCTACTCTTTTTCATTCTGTTTTCACTCTTTTATCAAAACAAAATCCATATAGATTGTCTACTCTAATTTTTTAGTTAAAATTGTTAAACTTTGGCCTCAAATAAAATAAAATAATATTAAATACTGATACGAAAATAGTTTTATTTGATTTTTTATATCAAATATTTTTAAAATATTATTTTATCTAGTGAATATATAATATTATTAATAATTTATTTAATATAGAACAATTGACTGAAAAAAATTAAAACCAAACAAATACTCAAGGACAGATGTAGTATTTCAGAAATTTAAAGTATAAATTATAATTCAAATATAATCTCATGTGTTTTTAACTTATCGCCTAAAATAGTAGCGTTGACCCTATGTATTGCCATAATTTTACATTTATGTATGCACTTCATAGTGTTTTTAATACGGAGTAAAGTATACTATGTGAGGTTCTAAAAATATTTCATATTTTGATTTTTTGGTCAAACAGTACAGTAATATACTTTAATCATAAATTATCAAAAAAAATATATTTAATTATAATATAAATTGATTATAATTGAGTTCATTTTAGGATATGGTTTTAATATATCAATTTTTTGTATCCTTTGTTTATTTAGATTATGTTTAATTTATAGTTTAAAAGTATCATTATTTGACAAAAAAAAATTAAAACATAAAAGGTTTTTAGGACCGAAGGGGTAATACATTGATACTCTTAATTACATATTACATCCTCCGTCTCAAATAATTTGGCCTACTTACGATTGGGAGTTTCCGATAACTTTTGTTTGCATATTAGTTAATTAAATTAATCATTTGATAAATTAAAATAGATATGTCACAACTTGTTTTGTAGAACATTTAAAAAGAAAAAAATGGTACATTATTCAGAAAAAGAATAATAACTAAAGACGGGATTAAAAATCTTATTTTGATTCAAAAACATTGGACTTATTTTAGTATATTAAACATTTATAGTGCTGTATTAGTACCAGTTAGGTAATTTTTTTAAATACTTTATCTATTCAAAATTAATTTTTGATTATGATTTCTTTGTCACATTAAAAATTGAGTAGATCTATTCAGTTTTTCAACATATGAAGAAAATATTACTCCGTAATAGAGATTAGAGACTTAAGGAAATGAAAGGAATAAGATAAATTTGATGGCATTAAAGTGAGCTGGATAATATGAAATTAACTTTAACGGTTTTAAGGTGAGCTGGATAATACGAGTATAAAATTAACTTTAACGGATTTTCATGAGTGTTAATTGCTTGAATTGACATATGTACCATCTCCATCTCTTAATAATTTTAGTTTTACCCAAAAATTTAAAGAGGCCATAAAATGTTACGGACTACGCGTACCATTTACTTATACGGAGTATATTTTAAGTCAAACTTAATAATCTTTGATCATTTATTAAATAAAATTTATATTATATTGATACAAAATAATGTTTTAGATTTATCTTATAAAATTTTTTAAAATATTATTTTAAATAATTAAAATACATTTTGATTAGACAATACTTGTATCTACTATCTAAATATCTAATTATGACTTAATAAACTGATGTCATAATATGACATTAAAAATTCAATGTCAAAACATCTTTGTCTTTCTTTATATATTCAAAGTACACTCTGTATCTTTGTATTGTACTCTCTCCGTCCCGTAAAAAGTTTCTCTTTCTTTTTTCATTCGTTCTAAAAAACACTTCACTTTTTCTTTTAAATAGTCACTTTTACCCCTACAAATTCTTAAGTTACTTATCACATCACACTTTTTCTCTATTAATCTATGCATCCTATCCTACTTTATTCATCACATCAAAAGGCATTTTTGGAAAATCAAAACCAAAATACACTCCTCTTAAATCCTCAAAAATTCAAACCAGGAACTTTTTTAAGAGACGGAGGGAGTAATTTTATCTTGAAATAACAACGTAGTATTTACAAATTACTAATTTTATCAAACATTTTTAATTATCAATCAACACAATAATGAACACACATATAGTAGATCAAAATTGCTCATTTTAGCTATCATCCAATAAAGCGGCTCACACAAGCTGACAAACAACTTCTAAACATGACCTTAAATACTATCTCCGTTTCTGAGTATTTGTCCAGTTTTGACTTTTCTGGTCAACTGTTTTCAACCTTTGACCTATAATTAAATAAAATATATATTGTATTTTAATTAAATAAATTAACATTTTGAAAATATTTGATATAATAAAACTCTTTTTGTATCAATATCTAATACTATTTTTATTTAAATTGAGATCAAAATTTATCAATTTTGACTAAAAAAATTAAAAGTGGACAAATACTACATTTACTAAATCTGCCGTTTGGCAAAAGCCATATTTGCTAAAACTCCAACTTTCTACCTAATTTTTTTGATCCATTTCATACCTAATTTTTTTGATCCATTTCATTTTTATACTGGCTTCAAACTTCAAAATGATACTCACTCTCACTCTCTTTCTCATTAAAAAAGGTTGCCTCGTGTGTATTGTGCCATAGATGCATTTAGCACAAAAATTGGTTTTTGAAAATACAGTTCTCAGCCTCCCTCTTTCGTTAGCTACAATCCAAAATTAAAACTGGAGTACATTTTTCTTTCTCAAATTTATTCTTAATTATCAATCTTTTTATTTTTCTTATGTGCGTGTAACCAATAAAAAAATCAAAAACTACTAAAAACAAAGCCAAAGCCAAGAGAAGAGATAGAGGAATATGAAGGAATAACTCAACAATTCTCTCCTCTATGAAAGTCATAATAAAATATTCTCACAGTTAATAAAATAAATATAGCATTGCCCGAATCCAAGAAAAGGATAATAAAAATACCAGGGATCTTCAGTCTAACAAGCACTTCTAAAAGTCTTCGCTTCTTCTTTGACATCAACTGCTACCGGCGCACGTCAGACTTTTCTCTTCTTCTTCAACACCAGCAGCTATCAACGCACATCTCAGACTTCTCTCTTCTGAGGGATTCCATTTCCCAACTACTCCTTCCATTGCTATTTAATTATTCATTTTGCCATGCGTGTCAAATATTTAACTAACTATATATAAAAATATACAATGAATTAAAATATAAAAACTATACCAAATTATTAGTATCAAAAAATACTTTAAATATATTACTTTTAATATTATTTGCTAATATATTTTAAGAAATATTGTTGGTCAATTGTTAAATTTGAAAAGAGAATCATACAGTTAAAAAGGAATGGAGAGAATAGTGTCCAAGCTTCCTTTTGCTTCAACCACACTTAGTTTGAGAGGGATGCATGGGTGGCCCAGAGGGTGTGCAAAATGGTCAACCGCACAGGGCCCATAAATTTTAGGGCCTCATGTTTTTAATTTTTTTAAATAATTTTAAAGCAAAAGTATTCTAAAAAAGTAAAATATGGCCTAAAATGTAAATTTTGGACCGGGTCAATTTTATTTTTTCATTTTTCGGGGCCAGCCCTAGAGGGATGCTAGACAGTAATATGAAGTATTTTTATTTATGATAGATGTTGTCTATTAATTACTCCCTCCGTCCCCCAGTTTTTGTCCACTTTTGACTTTTGGAACTGTTCATCTAAGCACTTTGACTCATCAAATTCTCTCAATGTGTAAGCCTAAATATAGTCATGTGTGATCTTGTTTGATTTGTCTAAACATATAGATTATTAATATATAATTTCTATAATTTTTTAATATACAAATTACAATATAAAATGGATTAAAGAAGTGCATTGGATGGTGTATAAAAATGAAAGTGGACAAATATTCTGGAACGGAGGGAGTAGTTATTTTCCATTATCGATTATTTCTGGTTGTGTTTGGATCTCTATTGCCTTTTTTAGTGTTTTGCACGTATAAACGAAAGTGCCTTTAGCCTCCTAAAATATACAGATCGAGTACAAATGCTACATGCTCTTATTTTTACTTGAATAATCACGCATTCGACAAAAAAAAAAGAAGCAAAAATCTCCCAACAAACTCGTTGCTCAATTGGAGTTCAATCACATTTCTCTTTTTTCTCCTTAAAAGTTTGATTTGTACCAACTGAGATTGTAACTACATGACTGTGGTGGGCATCCAACTTAACAAACGCAATCTCATCCAAATGTCCAATTCAATATAATTTTCGCTTTTAGATTCAACAAATATCTAGCTATGATGACTGTCATCGATCTTTAAATTGTAACCATTGAAATCTATCTCAAATTAGCTAGCTAGGGTTAGAATATATGAATCACATTATTAAGGTCTAAAAAATCAATCAAATAATTATAAAATTGTCATTTTCTATAATAAAAAAAGTGTTAGCTACATACTCTTCTCTTTGATGCTATTTATAAAAGTTGGAAGGAATCTCCATTGTTTATTAGACAATCCATGTTAATCTGCAAACTATATATCTTGCACCTCGATCCGTTGTTACATCACGAGACATGCCGTACGTATGATCTTCTAATACTCCGTATTTTGGAAGATTTTTGACACTAGACATGCAATGCATCAACCTCAAACCTCAAATTTATTAATGAAATATTGGCACTAAATAGCACTAAATCTTAAGTCATTTCCCTAAATAGCATTTAAACTGTTTTATTTCCTAAATAGCACTTAATAATGTCCATAATGTCTAGTAATGACAAATATTTACTTGAATAATGACTAATGTATAATGACTAAAAGTACTACATTGGGAAGAAAAACACATGTGGTGCTATTTAGGAAAAGTCATTATACTTTAGTGTTATTTAAGTAAATTCCTCATTTATTAATTCGTTAAATCACACAATTTGATCTACCAATTAAATCATCTTGCACTGCCATGAATTATCACCCAACAGGACACGTCCCCCCTGACCACAATTTTCTCGAAAGGGTTTTGATACAAGGCAACACTTGCAGATCTCCAATACTAGTGTCACACCGTTGGGCTCGGATACCACATGTTGGGACTGCACAAGCCTTATCCCAATAACTTTGTGTTAATATTACCTTTTTTTTTTATAATCCTACACACACAAGAGAGATGGGGCATGGATGTCACGCACTACGTACTTAAGTTGTTTAATTTCATCCGAAGAATTGAATTAAGCATGTGCATGTTGTTGTTGTAGCGCGCCTCAATCTCATATCATAACACATGCAAACTTCTTCACTTTAAATCACTTTTTTTTTTCTTTGCAGGGAGTACGTACAAATTACGGAGTAAATGGTTTGGTTTTTAGTGATGGATGAGAGTAAAGGGTGGATTTCCGTGTCGGAAAGCATTCCGTTTCCAAACCAGTGTACTTTAGTCATTATAGTGTACCCTCGCCTGGCCTGGCCGCCCTTTTCTTTTCTCATTGTTTGGTTTCATGAATTAATTAGTAGCACAAGCAGGACACTCCATTTTAATTTCTGGCAACTCATTTGAAAAGCATCCATATATACGGAGTTTGTTTGACATGGGGTCTTTAATTAGAAATACCAAATACAAGTTTCATGCATCTTTTATCGATCAATCTATGATTACAATTCAATTTAAATATTCTCTACTCACCCTATGACCGTACTAGTTCTTAAAAGTCTTGGTGATGGGGCACATTTTTATGAATATGGTTATAAAAAATTGGTGACGTTGAGTTTCAAATTTACGACCTTTCAATCAACAAGATTCTAATATTATATCAAGGAACCAATTCAATCAAAAATTCAAGTTTATGGTTCTAGGTCCAAGAGTACGTTTTTTAATAAATATAACACGCCCTTCACCTTGCACGTGAAATTTAACTTTCTAAAACTAAATGGCGATAAGTTTTGAACTTGTGACCCCTTAGTCTTCAAGACTTGAATACCATGTCAAAAAACTAACTAAATCAAAAGCTTTAGCTTGTAGTTGTAGCCCACAAAAAGTTTTTTTATACATTATAAAACAATCGATCTTAATTGTAGATCCAAACTCAAAATGTATTCAAGATGGTAGGATTCACAACACCTGGGGATAGTTTGAGCAATTGAGAGATAAAACACAGAACATACACTAATAAATATTCTTACGTAATGAAGATCACGACCAACATACATAAGAAATTCAACAACGTACAAATATTGTAATATCAAAAGGTGAACGTGATCTGACGAGAGAGCTAGCTACCAACCATGTCTTTTGATGAGACCTCTCTCGGGGAATGATAGTCAAACGAGATCTGCATAGGGTACAAGCTAAGCATCTTAAATTAGAGGTCTTGTACAATCGGTGTAACCTGCATCTATTGATTTAGTGGATGGATCACATAGAATAATTTATCTGAACTGCGTAAGTAGATCTAGTGTCGTTTTTAAACATTCTACTCGAGAATATTTTTTTATTTTTTTGCCATTGGTTGTTAGGCACACAATGCTATGACTCTGTGTGAATCATCTTATTTTGTGTGCTAATTTCTCAAAGGTCAAAATCAATTTTAGATGACTCTAAGACCCCATTTGACATCAGTGTTAGATGTAAGCATTATCGCTTTCAGAAAACCATCTGAGTGTAGCTTTTTACATTCATATTTTTAAATTTAATCTACACAATTAAAATTTTATATGAAATGCTAACACTAACCGAAAATATTATATTCCTTAAGTAGGCCTAACTCTCATTAGATGTGGAATTTCAGATCCCACCATGTGCGTGTGTTCAAAGTACAAAGGGATTGTCGTTCCAAATTTGGTTACATTTGCAAAAGTGAAGGATGAAACCAAAATACTTCGTAATGAAATTTGCATCGATCTAAGATGGCTACAATTAGTAGAGCATAATATGTTTCCTTAACTAGCTTAGTGTAACACATTTGTCGTCCCTTTTTCTGTATACTTCATACCTATAAGGCTATAATCTCTTTTGTTGCTCAAAGTGCTATCCATACAGAGTACATAGGTCAATCCCATTTTGTACATCTTAGGTCTAACTTTATGTTATTCTCATCTTAATATTTTCTTTTTAATACTTTTTAATACTCGCTTTGTCTCTTTTGAATAATCTCAATTTGATTTTTTAAGTTTTTTATATAGATTTTAACTAGAAATTATGGAAAAAAAATATTGAATTGTAATATAAAATTAATCAATAAATATACTGAAACATAGTTTCAAATGTTACGTACATTTCTTTAATTTAAATCTATTTATAAATAAAAATTGCAATAGTCAAAATGTTTTATTCAAAACGGTAAAAGTCAAATTAGAAGATTCAAAAGAGACAAAGAAAGTCATTCTTTGGTAATTTCATTAATTTTAGATATGAGTTGTAAACATTGATTGAAGTGGTAATAAAGTTGTTTTTTATGTTAAAAAAAGTAATTTCGTCAATTTAAAACTCGTACTAGTGTAATATTTGTTGGAATGCATGAGCTCGACCCTTTCTGTGTTGTTAAGTGTTGACTCACAGGTTTTGATAATTGACAAACACAATTTATTCAAGTCAAGATCAAAGTACTACAACGACAAACACGAAGACTTGAAGTGCCATTCCTTGAACTATTCAAGAAGATGCACAGGATTTTATTGGAGTTCAAGACGCGTTCGGAGCGCCTAACGGAGGACTCGGAGGAGTAGAAGATTTCCGAAAACTTTTTATTTATTTGAGTCGTAGAATATTTGTAAGGATGACAAAAATATCTTCTCTCCAAAATTATTTTTATGAGAGTTAAAATAAAAATTATATTTATTTTTGGAGTCAGTTGAAAAATCCTTTTAACTGTTCAAAACAGATTTATTGAGTCAGTCACAAAAGGTGTGCCACACATTTATCAAATATTTATTTTGATATTATAAAATATTTTTGGTAAGCAAAAATATTTTATTCAAATATTTTTTGTGTACATCGTTTGACACACAAAATATTTTTTGGGACTCAATTTCTACACCAAAATTCTTTATTTAATTTAAATTTTAAATTTGAATTAATTCATTTCAACCCTTTTGATTTGTTTGTTTATTGGAGCCTCCTTGACATCTTTTCTTGTCTAAAACAAAACATTTCACTCAAATTTGTACATCCCACTCGCACACATGTCTTGGGTCCTCATGTTTGAGGATTGTTCGTCAGTGGATCGATCCATGCGTTAGGATCGATCACCGTGGACTGTGCTCAGGGATTGGGATCGATCTATTTCTTCAGATCGATCACTTTATTTTTCGGAATTCCTTCTGTGGATCGATCAACCAGCTTGGATCGATCATCCGTAGACTTGCAAATCCGTGAGCCTGTTTTTTGGTTCTTGAGGATCGATCCCCTGCCTTGGATCGATCCCCCGAAGCTTTGACAGAAACTTTTTTTCGATCCATTACTCCAGGTGATCGATCCTTTGCCCTGGATTGATCCTCAACGCTCCAATCTGTCAAAATCAGCCTTCCATACTCCCAACGGATCTATTTCTTTTTACTCTATATAAACACTCTTCTTTGGTCATTTTGAGAACAAGAAACACTCCAATACTCCCCATTCTTGAGGTTTTAATCCTCCATCAATCTTTCATCAAACTTATATTATTTTGAGAGAAAACTAAGTGTTTTCAAGAGAGTGTTTTGTCATCCATTAGAGCTTTAATCATTTCTCATTTCTACTCTTTTGAGAGCTATTGTTGAGAGGTTGAAGAAGTTTGTTCTTCTTGTTGTTCAAGACTTGTGTGATTTAAGTCTTGGTTGTGAAGTCTTGTAGAAGGCATATCTACGAGCGGTTGTGTCGAGGTTTGTGGGATTCAAGTTCTCGGTTTGTAAACGGTTTGTTAAGCACCCGTAAGCTTAACGGAAGTAGTGGTAGCTTCGAGAGAGTCTCTCGGGGAACTGGACTAGCCACGAGGTAGTGAACCAGTATACATCGGTGTGTTCTTTGCCTTCTCTATTTTATTTCCGCTGCACTTACGTTTATATTTTTAATCCTGCGAAAATCGATAAACATTCTCAACAACTCTATTCACCCCCCCTCTAGAGTTGCACGCCTTGTCTAACAATATTATGACGCTAGTCTATTTAAACACCATACCAATCTCAATTATTTTCAAGGTTTATGTAGTCTTTCCCACGTTTTTTAATTTGGCAGATCAAATATCTAAATCAGAACAAATAAGTTTGGTGTGTGCTTCAAGGTCTAGCTTGGGATTTTAAAACAATGTTCATAACAACTCTTTTTTTCTTGTCACGCTTACACTATATTTGATTCAAGAAATTCGCAAAAAATGGCATGAAAATTAATTTATTTTGTTAGATTAGAAAGAAAAAGAATAGAAAAGTCAGAGAAAATAAAAATAAGAGGAAAAAATAAATTGAGAGGCAAAAAAACTCAATTTGATGGGAAAAAAAAAGATGAGAACACTTTGCATTTGGATAAGGTAATAGTCACATGGGCAACAGGCTCAAAAATGTTATGAACCATAGAATTCCCCAACGTGATGGACAATACTTTTATTAGTTTGAATTAAATTATTAAAAAGTTTTGCAAGCACTAATGTACTTTTTCTGTGTCTCTAAAATACTATCACAGTTTAACTCTTTTAATCGTGAATTAAGAAAAAAAATATTTAGTTATAAAATTAATTTATTAAAATTGAGTTAATTTTCAAATATAATTTGAAATATTCAATATTTATAATATTTAATGATTTTCAAATATAATTAATTCATGGTCAAAATGTGCTATAATATGATCAAAAAAATCAAATTGTATTAATCTTTTTAGGAGAGATATATATATGATGAGGCCGGCCAGTTCTAACTTCATCATTTACCTTTAATTTTATGGTGTGACAGAACCTTCATCCACCAGGAGAAGAAAAAAATGCACTTTTGTACAGTTGGATTCAACATTATATTTTGAAAGGGCAATCATTCAAAACTGTTCAGCCTGTTTCCTCAACTAACCTTTGTTGCTATCCAGAAAAGAAAAAAAACAACATAGTGACAAAGATTGTTGCATTCTTCACTGCCACTCTTTGTCCATTGGGTTATGCTACACTTACACCACAAATTGTACCCTATTTTTACACCGCAGTTATACACAAATATTTTGATAGTTTACACCGACATAAGTGTTGATGATTAACAAAAATTTACACGGACACAAAGTGTTGGTGCATTAATAAAAATTAGTTTTTACACTAACACAAAGTGTTGGTGCAAAGCTACGGGGTACAAAGTGGGGTACAAAACATGAGATACAAATAGCTTTACCCTTGTCCATTTATTGATCAAAATCTGGGTGTGTTTTTTCTTTTCTCTTTAAAAAGAACTTCAAGTAATAAGCTTTTAAGGGTATAATTTGAAGTTTAAAAAAAGTATTTTCAAGTATTTAGAAAAAGAACTTCTACATTTGAAAATTGTATTTGTGAAATTTAATTTGTTTAAGAGATGGAGAATTTCTCTTGAGAAATGCTTACAGCAAGCCAAAACATGTATTATTCCGTACAAATTAACTATTTCTGAATCATACCGAAAGAAAAAACAG